GGAGGTTTCCCCTATTTATCATGAAAGTGTTTTCATTTTGTTCTCTGAAAAGCTAATGAGAGCTAAAGTTAATGTGAGCTTTATATGAGGCAAAAGATCATGAACAGGTTTAGTTGTCAATTGGTGATGTATTATATGTTTCTGATGCTTTCCTGCAACCTTCTAAAATCTAGACCAATGTCTGAAAGTGGAATTTTATCTCATGTATTACAGGATGAAATCTATGTATTTATAGAAAAATGTCATATATAAACAGGATCCAGCATAATTATAATTATAATTTTGTAACACAATCCTAAACAGGAACTTCTTTGCTTGCAGAGACAAAGGATCTGCGATATGCATCCAATGTTTCTGAGTTTGTCAACTGCTTCCTTTAACCCTTTATGTTACCTGTAGCTCTTAAATGTGACACAATCCTTTTATGGGTTTGGGGAGTCAGTCTGGATGACACTCAAGGGTTCCTTCCAGATATATGATCCTGTAGAGGGGATGGTAAGCTCTATAAGAGGACACCAGCCAAACCAGTTTCCTTTGTTAAAGCAATAGAATAACCTTAGCCAGCCAGTTAAGTATTTCTATTAACATTAGAAAGAGGCTGCCCTGTTGCCATAGAGTCAAATGGGAGTAACCCCTGCTCACCTAGTAGGAAGCTACCTCAACTTGAAAGGTAGAAGAATATTAGCCTGTGTTATGTGTGAGGTTGGGCTGCTGCTGGAAGCTGGAGACAGAGAGGTGTGTCTGCTCTGTGCTGTACCCAAAGCTGAGTTTGGGACTTCCCTGGAAACTTAAAGGGGAAGCAAGATCAGCTGGAGTGTAATTGCTATGAACCCCTTCATCCTATGCTCAGGTCATATATATGTATAAAGAAAGACATATATCCTAAAGGTAGCACAGTCTCCACTGAACTTCATTCCAAGGAAACCAAACATGGGGTAAACGCAGGAACCCCTGGAGTCTCTCACTGGTCTGAGATTGGGATGCACATATCAATATACAATGGTACCTTGGTTGTCAAACTTAATCCGTTCAGGGAGTCCGTTTGACTTCCAGAACTGTTCAAAAACCAAGGCACAGCTTCCAATTGGCTGCAGGAGCTTCCTGCACTCAATCGGAAGCTACAGAAGCTGCGTCAGATGTTCGCCTTCCCAAAAATATTAGGAAATCGGAACAGTCACTTCTGGGTTTGCTGCGTTCAGGAGCCGATTTGTTCGGGAGCTATGCCGTTCAACAACCAAGGTACCACTGTAAATGACTATCGAGCCTGTTGTCCTGGCAAGTACTACACTTCTGTCACTAGAGGTCAGATTATACATAGTTATGCATACTTGAAACTCTACACAGAAAAAAATAATCCTCAATATGAAACCATTTGTGTGTGTTAACTAACTCTGAAAGTATCACAAAGTTTCCTAAATTTATTCATGAATTTAAGCTCCCAGGATGGAGAGAAGTATTTGACAAGGATATCGTGGCATAGTAGCATCACTTCCAGTTTTCCTCTGGCAGTCTTGTGACATACTGTTGAACCATGTCTAGATTATTGTTAAATTCCCCCAATCTTTGAGTGGTGAGAGATTTCCGAGAGTGACAGCGGGTTTGGTCGCTGTAGAATGAAGGCCACTGGAGATGGTTGTGTCCTTCCGATGGCTGAGTTCAAATAATGTGGGCTAGCTTCCGCTAAGTTTTTTTTTTTAAGCTTATGAAATTATTATAGACACCTTGCTGAATGTGTACTTTCACCCTAATAGATGTGATATGCACATGTGATTCCATACAGAATTGGGTACTGTAAAGTGCTTTATGTGGGCATGCCTTTAAAAGAGTGTTAGGAAAGTTCATCTGGTTCTAGGCTGAGAATCTGAAGAAGGAAGAAATGATTGTATCTCAACAATTCTTTAGTAATGTCATTGGCTTCCACTTTGTTTCCAGTAAAATGTTGGTTCTGAGCTGTAAGCAATCCTCAATTTCCCACCACTGATAGTAAAGGGGTTGCAGCCTAGACCACTATTCTTGCTTCTCCAGACCCCCATCTCATGTTTGGCCCTTGTTCTAAAGCAGATGTATGGAACTTTTAGCCCTCCCGTCATCCCTGGCCCATTGGCCATACTGGATGGAGCTGACAGGAGTTGTACTTCAACATCTGGAGGAACAAAGCTGAAGTTAGTAGTACCTTTTAGGCTCTGGATGAACTCATTTTTAGTAGGCTAGATATTTAATGGCTGCTTAACTGGATTAGCCAGTCTCTTTAATTGTGATACTCTTTTTAGTCTTAATGATTTTAACTACTGTTATGTTTCTTTGGTTCTTATTTGATGGTTTTATTAAGTCATATAATCATTTTAATTATATTAAAAGCAGCCTTGGTTGGCTTTGTTGAATAGCAAGGTATAAATATTTTAAATGAAATCACTGATAATGAAAGCGTTGAAGAGCGTCTGGGAAGAAGAAAATGTTAGGTTAATTTTTTAATATAGTTTGGAGAGGGGAATATCTTATTCTTATTCTTATTAATATTCAATTGTTCAAGTAGCCAGACAAGTACCATAATGGTCCTAAGTATGGGTTCTTAGTATAAGAAATAAAGCTGCTCTGTTCCAGAGGGCAAATGGATGAGACTCCCATCCATAGTTAGAAGAACAAAAGTCAGAACCTCTGTGTGTATGTGTGTGCGCACGTGCGTGAGAGAGAGAGAGAGAGTGCGCACTGGGCTAGAAGCAGGCTGCAGGGAGAAGCCTAAGAAGGAAAGACATGCTTGAATCCAAGGCTGTAGCTATGGGAGAAGCAAGACCTTCTGGGCTGTTAATGCTGTGAGCCCCTCCACAGACTCAGGTTGTATATATGTGTAAAAAAGCCATATATCGTAAGACTACCACTGTCTTTGTGGTCCCTCATTCTGAGCCCCTGGCAGCTTGCACCTCTTTAATGAAATCCAAGCCTTCATATGCAGTTCCCCATCTAGAAGAATAGCACAGAAAGGATCACAGAATGCAGCGCAGACAGAATCTTTTGTGAAATTATAAAGAATGTGGCTAAATACTGACCTCAACACACCTAAATTTACTTCTTGGCTCTGAAATGATGGAATACAGCTGATGTGGGAAAGAGAATATAACATTCTGTTTACTAGGATTTATGAACATGTTCTGTTGTTGTACAGCATGATGGGAACAAAAGCATTGTATTCCTGTGATTGTACACATCTTAAAATGCTATGCCAAAATGATCAAGAAAGCCAAACCCTTGGTGGAAGAATCAAAGGCAGAGCTTGCTTTTATTTTTAGTGAAGAATGTTGCCATATTTTCCTTACAAGATTTCCCAGCAGAAACAATGTGGGTTGGCTGGCAGGAATTAGGTGTTTCCTCTGGGTTAGGTTCCTACTATTGTTAATGAGTGAACTGTTAATGGAATGATCCATTTCTTGTCATGCTACAGATATCTGCTACCAAACACATGCCTGTGTTTAAAAACACAAGGACAGGACTGTTCTTTACAGACTTCTTTATTTCTCATAACATTGTAGCATGAAGACGCAAGAGCCATCCATACATTTCTCAATAAAGTTCTTGTTAGCTTATTAAAGCTTTTACAGGGTTCCAAGTATAGAAATATTTTCCCATTTAAAAGCTCTCTCTCTCCTTCCCTGCAAGTTTTGTGTGCATGTGTGCGTGTCCTAGCAGCAGGGTTAAATTATACTCATAATTTCCACTTATGTAAGAGTGAATACCAAAATTCCAATGCCTTTCAATTTATTGCTCAGAACACTGAAAGGCAGGAACATATTTACTGGCAACAAAAAACCTACAGACCGCATCTCTATGGCTCTCCATATGTTGCTAGACTACAGCTCCCATCATTCCTGAGCAGCGGTTATGCTGGGAAGCATAGAAATTAGGCAGTAAGGCCTTGTTTTGAGCAAGTCCAGCTATGAAGTAAGCTGGCTCTGCTTTCTTAAGAAGAAACAGGCAACAACTTGGGAAGTAAGTTAAAAAATGTATAATTTTTGTATATTCATGCATTGGTTCACAACAATGGCAGCAGCAAATCTATGCAGACAAAATACTTACAGTCTATCCAGCTTCAGGCTGGTGATGGGTTTCTCTGAAGCATGGGAAAACCAGCCCCTCAACTGAATCTGACTCAGCAGCTGCAATCCCTGGTTTGGTGGGTTCAGTTCAAGGGTTTTCAAGAGGACTCAGTGGGTTCCTTGTTTTGGTGTTGGGGTCCAGCCCAGTGCTTATACAATTTGCATTCTTGGACCTCCTAAGCTGGCCATTTGCCCACTTTGTCAGTATTCAGGTTACCCAGGAAAGGGTTCCCAAAGGTTTATGGGCTTCCACCCTGCCCTCTCCCAGGGCCTATTTTGACACCTCAATGGCCCATGTTTATTGTGCCCACTTTTCAATTATAGTGAGCGATCTATCCAGTATAGGGTGAGAAATGCCATATATTAATGCTTATCCTCAAAGGAACATGCCGCCACAACCATGAAAGCACAAAAGTCTGCTCTGATGTGAGCAAAATTACGTCATAGCTTAAGTGGTACCGACTACCACATTTGGGGACTATTGAATCACAATCTTAGGATCAAGGATGAACTATAAATAGGCGGCCGTTGCTTGAGGAGGTGAAAATCTAATGGAAAGGGTTTAGTTTGGACTGTTCCAGAAAATGGGCCAAATGATGGTTCAGATAGGCCAGCTTGTGTGAGTTGCATCCTCTTCCTCTTCCATCTTTTCAGGCCCAAGACCACACAATCTGAAGCAGCTTTCCTCCACATCTTACCCTACACCCACACCAGAGGTACCAACTTGAAAAACATGGGGTGGAGGGGTAGGCAAGCCCTGCCCCACATAATCGATCACATGACACGCTACACACACACACACACAAAATTTAAATGACAATGCCCATCAACTTTGGGGGGGGGGTTCTAGTCCCCTCAAATATTTTATTGGGGGAGCACGAAAGGACCTCGGGCCCCTAGCAGTAGGCTCCTATGACCCGCACCATCCGCACGCGCGAAACGCTCTTTGCGCGGAGCACCTCCAGGAGGCGCCATGACTGCGCCGGCGGGAAACCCAAGCGCTCGCTTTCGGCAACCTGCAAGCGCGGCGAGCGAAGACCTCGTAGCCGCCGCCGCTTCCTTTTTCCTACGCTTCAAGAAACCTCCTCCTCTTCCTCCTCCTCCTCCTCCAACTGCTCCGACGGCGTGTGCAAGGGAGAGGGCGAGGGGAAGGGAGGGAAGCGGCTGCCCGCTTCGGTGAGCTGAGGGGGACGGACACGGCGGAGCTCCCTCGCCCACGCCCGCCTTCCACCTCTCTCAGGAGCCGCACTTTCGGCTCCTCATCGCGGGCGCCGGCCGGAGCCATCTTCGGGTAAGAGCAGCTCGACGGCGCTCGGCTCCTCCCCTTTCGCAACTGCTTCTTAGCGCTGCAAGTCGGCGAGGAGACCGGTCGGCTTCGGGTTGTCGCCTCGGACCGGCGTCGGGCAGCGGCTCTGTAAGTCGGAAGTCTTCACCTGTTACCTCAGGTCCTCCTTTTTTTAAGTGTTTGTTTGTAAGTACCAGCAGAACAGTGTTTCCTAAACTTGGGTCTCCAGATTTTTTTTGGGGGGGGGGAGAGAAGGGAACACGACTACAATTCCCATGATCCCTAACCCTTGGTTATGCTAGTTAGGGATGATGGGAGTTGTAGTCCAAAAAAAAAAAACACCCCAGCGGGAGACCCGAGTTCGGGGAAACCCTGGACTAGAGGGAAGTTCTACTGATCAGAGGAAGGAAAACTCTAAGGAGATCAGTCATATCCCCTATTTTCATCCTCACTATCTGTGTCGCTCAAGATCCTCCCTCTTCGCCTGAGAGAGATTGAATTCACAAGTTACGTGCCTGACTCGGCTTGCGAAACGAGAGCGGGATAGTGAAGTAACGGCGGGCGCAACCTTGGGGATAGTAGGACGTTCTGCTCCTCCGTTCGCGTTTATTATCCCCGTGGCTCCGATGCAGAAATTCGGTGGCATTTAATATCCGGCCTGGGGTTCATTCGAGGTCTGGGCTGTGTGGAAGGGCAGCAGGGCGCAGGAGTGGTGAGGATGTTTGACAAAGGGCTGAGGAGGGTTCAGTTCCCTAGCTGGCTAGGAAGCTCAATGGGTCATTCGCAAGCTCTTGGCCCAAACCTGTCTCACAGAATTGTTGTGAAGATAAAAGGGGGTGGGGAGACAATGTCAGGAATGGGACCTCCAAATGTTCGCTGGACTCCCGAAGTCCCACCATTCCCAGCCAGTATGGTGAATGATCAGGGGTGATGTGAGTTAGCATTGTCGTTTCAGCCCTAGGTTGCAAATTCTTTCCTGGCATTTTTGGAGTTTTAAGCAAGGCAAGTGGGCTAGTGCGTTGTTTTTTTCTGGGAGTACTCAAGGGTTTGCAGTACCAGCACCTTTCCACCACCCCCCATTGTTAAAAGAGTGGCACTTAACTATAACAACTTCATGGTCAGTACCAATACCTTTTAAAAAAAAGAAAGCACTGCAAGTGGCTCTTTACAAACCTGATGCAACCACATTTTGGGACTTTGTGTGTGTGTGTTTAGGTCTTCTATACCTTCCTGACATGGCTGCCCCGGCTTTCCAGCTCGACTAGGGAAGCTATACAGTGGTACCTTGGGTTAAGTACTTAATTCGTTCCGGAGGTCCGTTCTTAACCTGAAACTGTTCTTAACCTGAAGCACCAGTTTAGCTCATGGGGCCTCCCGCTGCCACTGCGCTGCCGCTGCACGATTTCTGTTCTCATCCTGAAGCAAAGTTCTTAACCTGAGGTACTATTTCTGGGTTAGCGGAGTCTGTAACCTGAAGCGTATGTAACCCGAGGTACCACTGTACTTTGCTGCCACAATATTCTGGGAGGGGCTTTCATATGAGAGCTCAAGACGGACATTATACATGGTATGGAGAAAGCAGTGTTAGAAACTGAGATATGAAAACTAGGAGCTAAATGGCACCTTAAACCTAGGTTATGAGCGTCGCAACGGAATGTCTAGGCACGCTTTTTTAATAACCAGACTACAAAGCTGAAAATGAATGAACTGCAGCTAAAATCTTATATTCATTTTTCACATGGTTTAGTCCTCATCTGAAGACTGCAAAAACAAAGCCATACTTCCCCTGCCCGCCCCCTAATATTCTTATGAGGGTCCCTTCTTCAGTCCTCAGACAGTGGCTGAAAGTGGGGAGGCAGAAAAAGCTCCTCCTTTTTTTTTCTAGCAGTGGCAGGTTTAATCTGAAATCTTAGGCACAGTACTGCTCCCAGAGCTCAAAAACTGCTCGCATTAATGAAATTCCCTGTCTAGAACGGGCCTAGAACAATGGGAGTTTCGAATGCTGGGAGAAAGTGAAGAGAGAGATTTTTTCCTTCTTTCATAATGCTGGAACATAGGACTACCCAATCAAGCTGAATGTTAGAAGATTCAAAACAAGCAAATGAAAGTACAGCGCAAAGTTAAAACTGTAAAATTCACTCCCACCAACTTGATTAGCTTTAGAAAAGGATTATACAACTTCGTGGAGGATAAGCCTGCCAGTGGTGACTAGCCACAACAGTTATACAGTGGTACCTCGGGTTACATACGCTTCAGGTTACAGACTCCGCTAACCCAGAAATATTACCTCGGGTTAAGAACTTTGCTTCAGGATAAGAACAGAAATCGTGTTCCGGCAGCGTGGCGGCAGCAGGAGGCCCCATTAGCTAAAGTGAAGCTTCAGGTTAAGAACAGTTTCAGGTTAAGAACAGACCTCCATAACGAATTAAGTTCTTAACCCGAGGTACCACCATGTTTCCATTAGATGTATAAATGACCTGATTCAGTGTAAGGCAGCTTTCTTTGCACTGTTGGAGGCATTATGTTTCTGCATGCCAGTTTATGGGAATCACAAGTTGGGAGAATACAGTGCCAGTGTTATCCTTCCATCCCAAACTGGTTTTTTGCCACATGGCATATTGTGGCCCATCCTTTCACTTTCTGCCATATTAAAGTGGCAGCAGCTGCTGCAGGAAGAGGTGTTGAAAAGGCCATTTTGACTTCTCTGGAAAAGTTGCGACAGTGTGTTTCAATAAAATATTAAAGGCTGCAATTTAAAGAAGCAATATGCATTCACAGGAAAACTGCAAATACAACTACAACTTTTACCACAGCAGTTTCCACTGCTGATGAGACAAGTTAACTTTAAAAGGCAGTTTGGCTTTTAGTAGTAGTAAGTGCTGACCTGACACTGTCAAACACAGTTTCAGTTATCTTCACAGTACTCCTTCAGTGTGCAAATTGCCTCTATCGGTTGCTGTAAAAATGCTCTGACAATTTAGCTACTAATGGGTTTATATGTCACTAATAAGTTGCTAAAGCATTCTTTGACCAGTTTCATCTAAGAAACCGGCTTAATCTCTTTCTTGGCATACCAACCCACACATTTCTTTGTCAATCATTTATGATCTACAAGGAAAAGGAAAATAACAAACTTTTCTAAAGCTAGCCCTAACCACTGAAAAGGGTGTTAAAAACAACCTCATTTATACTTTTTGTTTTAGAATTTACACAGTAGATCACTCTAATGGCGGCTAACATATTGAGGTTGAATCCTGACAAGACAGAAGTACTGTTTTTGGGGGACAGGAGGCGGGTGGGTGTGGAGGACTCCCTGGTCCTAAATGGGGTAACTATGCCCCTGAAGGACCAGGTGTGCAGCCTGGGAGTCATTTTGGACTCGCAGCTTGTCCATGGAGGTGCAGGTCAATTCTGTGTCCAGGGCAGCTGTTTACCAGCTCCATCTGGTATGCAGGCTGAGACCCTATCTGCCTGCGGACTGCCTCGCCAGAGTGGTGCATGCTCTGGTTATCTCTCGCTTGGACTACTGCAATGCACTCTATGTGGGGCTACGTTTGAAGGTGACCCGGAAACTACAAATAATCCAGAATGCGGCAGCTAGACTGGTGACTGGGAGCGGCCACCGAGACCACATAACACTGGTCTTGAAAGACCTACATTGGCTCCCAGTACGTTTCCGAGCACAATTCAAAGTGCTGGTGCTGACCTTTAAAGCCCTAAACGGCCTCGGTCCAGCATATCTGAAGGAGCGTCTCCACCCCCATCGTTCTACCCGAACACTGAGGTCCAGTTCTGAGGGCCTTCTGGCAGTTCCCTCACTGCAAGAAGCCAAGTTACAGGGAACCAGGCAGAGGGCCTTCTTGGTAGTGGCACCTTCCCTATGGAACGCCCTCCCTCCAGATGTCTAAGAGAACAATAACTACCAGACTTTTAGAAGACATCTGAAGGCAGCCCTGTTTAGGGAAGCTTTAAATGTTTGATGCATTACTGTATTTTAATACTTTGTTGGAAGCCGCCCAGAGTGGCTGGGGAAGTCCAGCCAGATGGGCGGGGTATAAATAAATTATTATTATTATTATTATTATTATTATTATTATTATTACTCTGTAGTTCTTTTATAATAGTGTCACCTGCACAGTGGTAAACAATGTCCCCAAATTTATCAAATTTCTGCCACTTACCATTTACAGCACTGTGGGTGGCAGGAAGAGCCCAGGAAAATCAAATGAATCTTTCACATGGGATCCTTTGTTGCCTTAGCAGTTATTAACTTGTTGGCCTAAAAGAGGTCCCAAGCAAAAACTGACCCAGAGAAACAGATAGAATACCTTTCTTAGGGCACATCATTTATGGCTTCTCAGACACATTGTCACGTATGATGCAGTTGAGATTCCTGCATTACAGGGGGTTGGACTGGATAACCTCCCAACTCTACGATTCTAAAATTCTATGATTAATTTGAATTTGGGTTGAGGTAGAAAAATATTCCATAAAACTTCCTACATCCGTTTTTAAATTTCTTTTTAAGAATTACTATATTGGGATAAAAAAGTGCTTATACATGATATATGCAAGCTTATTTGGGGCATTCTTTAACACTGGAATTTATCTTGGAGTGAAAAAATAAACCATAAAATTGCCCACGTTTGTTTTTCTTGAAGAAATAGAGGGAGTTGTAGAGGGAATAGGTCTCCCTGTGATTGATGGGATTCTAAATCTCCCTAACAGAAAAGGTTGAAAGTCTGGGAGTTGCTTTTCCTTTTGTTCCAACCCTGCTCTTTGGTAAGTTGGTTGCCAGAGTAGCTAAAATGCTTTCTTTCTGTTCTGTTGTTGCAATGCCTTGACCTTTCTTGAGTAGAGAGGAACTTGCAATACTAATCTGTGCTTTCTTAACTTCCAAGCGACACACTCTGTATGGGGCCATTCTTGAAAACAACTCAGAGGTTTTAGCTAGTGCAAAATGTTGCCACACATCTCCTTGCATATAGGGAACAGCACAGTCGTATACAGTCAGTCTTGCTTTAGCAGCACTAACTGGCACTATGGTTCAGTTCAAGTTGCTGCTGCTTAGCTATAAAACCTTTCATGGTTGGCATCCAATGGATGGTTCCACTTGTCCCCTACTGCAACTTCAGTCCACCCGTTAGCGATGCTGTTGCCTTTGATTGTACCTTCAAAATCTATGATTGTTCTCAGGCTCTTCTCTGAGTCCTTAAAGGTAAAGGTAATGGGACCCCTGACCATTAGGTCCAGTCGTGACTGACTCGGGTTGCGGCGCTCATCTCGCTTTATTGGCAGAGGGAGCAGGCGTACAGCTTCTGGGTCATGTGGCCAGCATGACTAAGCCGCTTCTGGCGAACCAGAGCAGCACACAGAAACGCCGTTTACCTTCCTGCCAGAGCGGTACCTATTTATCTACTTGCACTTTGACGCGCTTTCGAACTGCTAGGTTGGCAGAAGCTGGGACGGAGCAACAGGAGCTCACCCCGTTGCGGGGATTCGAACAGCCGACCTTCTGATCAGCAAGTCTTAGGCTCTGTGGTTTAACCAACAGCACCACCCGCGTCTGAGTCCTTACTCCGCATGAAATGGAATTTGTTGTAGAGACTTTTACTCTGGGAAGGGAACTCTGGCAGGGGCAGATCAAGTGACAGTACTTTTTCTGGGCTGGCCCCACCACTATAGAGCTCTCTCCCCTGAGATACATTATCAGCTTCTCAGTGCTTCTTTTCTAAAAAAGTGTTTAGGGGTACTCTCATTTTGACTCAAGAAAATTACCATTTTATAGTTCAAATTGGGAAAAATAAAGACAGTAAATGGACAAAAGTACAAAGATTCACAAAATGTTTAGGTGTATGCGTACCCCTGCGTCCCCTTCAGGAAAAAAGCACTGAGCTTCCTCCTTGGTAGTGTTTAAAGGTACAGTGGTACCTCTAGATGCGAACGGGATCCGTTCTGGAGCCCCGTTCGCATCTAGAAGCAAACGTAACCAGCAACGGCACGTCTGCGCACGCGTCGCTTTTCGCTGCTTCTGCTCATGCACGTGATGTCATTTTGAGCATCTGCGCAAGCAGCAAAACCCGGAAGTAACGCGCTCCATTACTTCTGAGTTGCCGCGGAGCGCAACTCGAACGCGCTCATCCCGAAGCACATTCAACCCGAGGTATGACTGTAAAGGTAAAGGTTCCCCTGACCGTTAGGTCCAGTCGCGGATGACTCTGGGGTTGTGCACTCATCTCGCTTTACTGGCCGAGGGAGCCGGCGTTTGTCCGCAGACAGTTTCCGGGTCATGTGGCCAGCATGACTAAGCCGCTTCTGGCAAACCAGAGCAGCACATGGAAATGCTGTTTACCTTCCCACCGGAGCGGTACCTATTTATCTACTTGCACTTGACGTGCTTTCAAACTGCTAGGTTGGCAGGAGCTGGGACCAAACAACAGGAGCTCACCCCGTTGCAGGGATTCGAACTGCCTACCTTCTGATTGGCAAGCCCAAGGCTCAGTGGTTTAGACCACACATGTATTTTTAGGCTTTATTTTAATGAGATAGCTTTATAAGCAGTAGACTCAGTAGTCCTAGCTGGCTGTGATATATTGATCTGAAATGTTTTAACTGCTGCTTCTGTAACTGTGATTATGTTGTTTACATATTGTATGGTTTTAAACTGATTGAATTTGTATAAGCCGCTGTTCTGAGCAGCACCTTTCTTTCCAAACTGGCCTGCCAGCAAGTTTTAATACCACAGATACTACTTCTTTCACATCTCTTTGGCCTCTGGATTGTTAGTTTCAGGACCAAAAAGTACATCTGCAGGATCATCTTTGGCCCAGAGGCCTCTATTTGCTGAGCCAAATTTAGGTTTTAGTTTCACATGACTACAGATGGAATTAAGAAAGTGCTGATTTAAGCCTCATGCGCAAAAAGGCCCCTTGTCCATTTTTTGGTGGTAAATCATGTAAATCTAGCTTCCAAACAAAACCATTTCAAAATTAAAGGCATAGTGTATGCTGCTACAGTGGTACCTTGGAAGTCAAATGAAATCCGTTTGACTTCCAAAACGTTCAGAAACCAAGGTGTGGCTTCCGATTGGCTGCAGGAAGCTCCTTCGGGAGCCAAAACATTGGACTCGCAAGGCGTTTGGGATCCAAGGTACGACTGTATCATTGCTGAATCTAATGCCATACAAGAAAATCCGCATTCTACCAACCAAGTATGTAGTGACCAGTGTCTAAGTAGGATTTGGCTGCCACTGTAGTTTGCTTCTGTATGTGAAGGGGTGGGTGGGTGGGTATCTTATCCTTGGCTTCAGGTGCTAAAATGTGGGCCAACAGGGCCTGCCCAAGACATATCCCACTAGAGGCCACTGTCCCTGTGTCTCAGTCCAGCACTGCCCACTGCTTGCACCCTCCCTTCACCACAAAAGCAGATTTATAGTCCCATTGTCATCATGGTTGTTTCGAAAAAAGAAGCCAACCTTTCACTTGAGTATTGCATATGGGGAGTGGGTAGGCAGCTATTGCAGGTGGTGGTCCAGAGCTGAGCAGGAACATCATTAGTGAGCCGTGCTGCAACTCATCCCCATGTTGCCAAGCCCAGACATTTTAAATATTTTCAAAATGTCATTTTTGTATTCTACGAAAGGAGGGGAGGGAAACTTTTAAAGCCTGTTGCTGCCCTGCCACACTTCTGGAGTGTGGGAGAGTGTTGTTGTAGTCCTTTAACACCTCCAAAACAAATGAGTGTAAGAAGGATCTGCTGGGTCAGACCAATGATCTGTCTAGTCCAACATCTTGTTCCCCCCAGTGGCCTCTGGGAAGCCTGCAAACGGAACACGAAGGCTAAGCCTCCCCCTGTTTTTCTCCCATCACAGCAGCTGGAGGTTGGATATAGCCATCATGACTAAGAGTGATTGATAATTCATCCTCCATGAGTTTCTCAACTCCATCTTTAATGACTGCTAAACTTGTGGCAGCCAGTTCCATACCCTGTGTGAAGAAATACTTCCACCAGTCTGTCTTGAATCACCTGTGCAATGAATTTATTTAAATATCCAGAGTATTAGCTATTAAATATTTCTCTCTAGTCAGCTTCTTCAAACTGTGTGTGATATTATAAACCTCTTAGCATATAACTACTTTTTTTACCTCCCCTGCTAAAAGTTCCAACGGTAGACCTTCCTCATTTTGGTTGCCCTTTTTTGTACCTTTTGTGGTTCCACTACTAGAACTGTATGCAGTATTCCAAATGTGGCCATACCAAAGATTCACATAAAGATATTAAAATACTGGCAGTTTTATTCCTGATCCTCTTCCAAAAATGCCAGCAAGATAATCCCCTTTCCCTGCAGGGCTCTACAACCCTTTCCTCACCTTTTCCCTGTTTTGTGTATTCATTCTTCCATCATTTAGTAACTTGCCACACAGATTGGGTAGTGAGTGATTTTTCTGCATAATACTGCTAGCTGTGTGAGGGTAAGGCTCTTGCTGGTGGTGCAGATCAAATTTAGCCCAAATGCCACACAGTGGCCTTAAACAGGTTTGTTTAAAAAAATACATCTGGAAAGGCACATAGGTTTGTAGGTATTTTGTGGATATTCTTATGATTCCGTAGTGTCTGAAGCATATGCCGTAACCAGAAAGGTTGAAATGCTAATATTTAGTTAACAAAATTCATATACAGTCATACCTCAGAAGTCGAACGCCTTGTGAGGTGAACATTTTGGCTCCCAAGCGCCGCAAACCCAGAAGTGAGTGTTCCGGTTTGCGAACGTTCTTTGGAACCCGAATGTCTGACGGGGCTTCCATTGCTTCCGATTGGCTGCATGTCTTGGTTTCTGAATGTTTTGGAAGTTGAATGGACTTCCGAAACAGATGTCGTTTGACTTCCGAGGTATGACTGTACTGCTTGATTGTAGTAACACCCCCAACTAAGCATTTACAAGAAATATGAAAATTGCCAATAAAAACAACGAATTTTTAAAAAATAATTAAAACAAACAGTAAAAGAAATTAAAATGCATCATCATTTATGTATATAGTTTGGCTAAACAAAAATATTTTAAGCAGGCACCTTATTCTGGGTTTTAATTTTGTGTTTTTCTTAGTTTTTGAGCTTTCAAAGGAGCACCATGCTTGGACTTGTGCATAATTAATATGCTGCTATCATTTGTTGATGTATTATTGTTTTGCCTATTAAAAAAGAAAAGAAAAAGAAATCCAAGCTGGATATGTTGAATATTAGCACAAAACGTAACCAACATACCCAACTATACTCTAAGCTTGGAATGAAAGCTTTGGCTGGTTATTAATTTGCAATCCATATGTAGTTTGTTGACTGGTTTGTTTCTACGTTCCTTCCCTTTCTGACTACTGTCTTTCTCATTCTTTCTCCTTCAACTCATCTCTTTGATTTTCTATTATTTGCATCTCTCTGGACCATCCCTTCTTTCATCTCTTTGTTCCTATTTCCACCACCACCCTGGCACCTATCTATTGATTCATTAAAATTATATGCTTCCCTTCCTTTAAAAAGTTCAAGGTTAACTAAGGTAACAGTAAGCTAAAATAAATAGACTAAAACAGCATAATACACAAAGATACAATGCAGCCACTGAAATAATTAGGCAATAGAAACAATTCTCACTGTTTTCATTATGGAGCAAGTTTAAAACAACCACGATGCAGTACAGAAAATGAGAACTATTCATGGGCATCCTAAACAGGTAGCTTTTAGCAACCCTTAAAGAGGGAGCAAGATGAGCTTCATTAATGAAGCTAGCCTGGCAAGATGTGAGAGGGAATTTTCAAAGACAAAATTTGCCCCCCCCCCATATTTCTTTCTTTCACAATATTTTTATTTTGCATTTTTAAACAGATCTTCTCAGTAGGTATCTGTAGAAATATAGGTGGTGGTGGTGGTTGTTTTGTGTCCCCTCAGCTCAGTGCCCTGTGTATGGGAATCACCCGCACCTCCCTAAATTGGCGCTGTTGGTCTCAACTAAGAATACACACATGGGTCTGTGGAGAAGAACTTAGCAGGCTCAAATGGGAGAAATATCCCATTCAAATATCCCGGTTCCAAGCCATAAAGGACTTTAAAGATCATCACCATTTCTGATATAAACCTGGAAACAAAATTGAAACTTGAGCAGTTGTTTCAGTAAGGAAGTCACACACTCCTTATGCTTATTTAAAAAAAGTAACATTAATAGGTGTGTTCCTGATTAACAACCCAGACTCAGCATTTGGAACCAATATCACTATCTGGACACTCTTCAGAGGCAACTCTATGGAGAGTACACAACAGCAGTCCAGATGTGATGTAATGTATGCCACCTAGCCAGATTTGCAGTCCTCAGAAATAAGCATACTTGGTACATTGCAGTTAAGCAAAGGGTCCCTTGGTCACAGCTGACGCCTGGGCATTTAGGAACAATGCTAAGTCCAGAAGAACCTCACATTCCTTTCTATGATCTTAGACCATGGGTTCTTCCAGGTTATTTCTCTCTAGGCTCATTGATTTGCATCACCTTCTATAGGATCTGAACAGTCAGTGGCAACTGGAGATCTGACTGCTTACACTACTCTCCTGTAGCATTAGAACATCTCAGCTAATCACTTTTTACAACCATCTCAGAAAAACCCCTTAGCATATTATAGTGGAGATGGCATTCTTTTGTTCTACACCAGTGTGGTGTAGTGGTTAAGAGCGGTATTCTCGTAATCTGGGGAACCGGGTTCGTGTCTCCACTCCTCCACATGCAGCTGCTGGGTGACCTTGGGCCAGTCACACTTCTTTGAAGTCTCTCAGCCCCACTCACCTCACAGAGTGTTTGTTGTGGGGGAGGAAGGGAAAGGAGAATGTTAGCCGCTTTGAGACTCCTTAAAGGGAGTGAAAGGCGGGATATCAAATCCAAACTCTTCTTCTTCTTCTTCTTCTTCTTCTTCTTCTTGGCCAGTTTTTCCGCAGATAGGTTTTTGTGTGTGTTAATCATGAACAAAATAAAGGCATATGAATTGGGGGTGGGGAGGGGAACGCCACACAATAATTTTAAATTGGCGTATATTTTGCATGTTGTGGATTTGGACTTCCGAAATTTCACTTCAGCATATGGAGGTTAAAATGCTGCTGTTTGTAACAATCTAAATACAACACTTTATATGCTCCTATTTAAGAGATTAGCAGATAGTTAGATGCTGAGCCATCACAGGCAGTTTTCATATGGGCGCTCAGATAGCTAAACCACTGGTGTCCGTCTTGAGAAGGGCTTCCTCCCTCTACTGCTTGTTACTTCCTCTTTCTCATAGTCACAGGGTATGCTGGTGGTTTTCCCCCCTCCTCCTCTGTGGTTTTTTTTCTTCTTACTCCCTGTTTTTTCCTGATTGTCTTTCATCTCAGTCTCGGTTCCCTTGAGGCTTGATCCTCTTTGTCCATGTGCTTCATCTGTTGGTCACTTTATGGAGTGAGCTGAAGAAGAATAATTTCATGAGACTGATTTCCTGCTAGAGAGAGCGATCCTATTCCATATAGTTTCCTGCAGTGGGCACAGAATCGCCCCTCCATTTGTGCAGCTGCCATGACGTGCTGGATCAGAGACCAATGGAAGAGAAAAAGGGCAGGCAAAAAGGTGGGTGAGGCAGCAGTGGTATTACAATAGTGATTTTTTAAAATCTGGCCCGTACAATTACTGTGCATTCCTATAAGCATTTTATGTTCTTTTCCCTCTGTCTTTCAATAACAAAAGCTTGGCCAGATCATCATGGCCAAACTAGACATGCTGGGGCCATCATTTGTGTGTCTACTTATAAAGTGGGGCGAGGGCTCAAGTCTGGATACACACCATAAGCTTAAAGTAAATCTGTTCCCCCAAATAATCCCGAAACTGTAATTTATCCCCCAGAGCTACAGTTCCCAGCACCCTTAACCAACAGTTCTCAGGATTCTTACAGCGTGTGTATGGTCTGTATGTAACTTAATGACATACTTAAAACAGTTAAACAAGGGCAGGGACACGGAGCTCTCAAGTGTGCACAAATTACTTAATACGCCTCTCAGTCCATTTTGCCAATCATGTTTCTCTCTTCCTTGGCTCTGATACAAGTGAGCTAAGAATTCACAACTGTGGCTGGAGCAATGGACTAACTGAGGAGACGTAAAATGCAGGCGTGGGGGAAGGTTTAACGACTTTCTCCTACAGGCTACTTTTACTGTTAAAAATAAAACATAGGCACTGCTTTATTTGCGAGTAGGAGAGATACACGGATGAAAAGAACAAGGGGTTTGTCGCTGTCATGTCCGCTTTGATCCTGAAACTCCTACATGTATCTGACTTTTGGTAAAATGAATTCCTATATTTCCCAACATAATGTCACTGAAATCAGGGACATATAATGGCTGAAACATGTAAGAATGGAAACTGTTTTACTTTCTGGAGTGTTGTCTAATTTTGAATATATTTCTAGTTACAGGTAGGTAGCCGTGTTGGTCTGCCGTAGTCATAGCAAAATAAAAAAATAAAAAAATTCCTTCCAGTAGCACCTTAGAGACCAACTAAGTTAGTTATTGGTATGAGCTTTTGTGTGCATGCACATTTATTATTATTATCATTTATTTATTTTATTTTGTTTTGAATATATTGCATTAGTAAATTTTATAGCTAATGGTTGGATCCGAAGTAAGTTGGCCAGATTTGGGTTACTGGACCTACATGCAAACTTTATGAATTTCCCCCCTTTTCTTTATTCTAGAAATACCCAATATCTCTTGAAATTGCATGCCCATATACTATATTCTGCATTTGCTCTGGACACTTCCTCTATTTGCAGACAAATTTAGTGTTCCATAAAGTGTGACAAGACTTTGCGTGGGTGGTTTCTCTATTAAGTTTATTTTCAAGCAATATATAGTTGCACGTGCTTCGCACAGCTGCCTCCAGAAGGCAAAAAAACACCACAATTTCAGTCACCTCGGAATAATGTACCACTCTACAGAAGCTCGTTTGGGGAGACAATTCTGAAAACAAGTCAAAAGATCTTGTAAAATGGCTGCCTTAATCTTATCCTGCACCTACATACTGTGGTAGACAGCATTCTCTGAAGAAGAACTCAGATTAAGATCTCCTGATTAATTTCAACCAGAGGAATTGATGATGCAGTTTTCACAGAAGACTCTAGTCTTTTCCTTTCCCCCTCTTCTTCTGGTCTCAGCTGGTTGTGGAAGATTTAGCATAAATAACTGTTCATTGGTAGGTAGCATGAGCTGTTGTCAGGAATTTATCTTAGATTTTGATACAATTAGAGGTTGGCATGGAGGAACCTGGTGCTTGCAAATGCCATATATGGGGGGGAAAGTTAAGCAGATTTTATGATATGGCATTGCCTCAGCCTGCAATAGGATTCTAATCAGTGTGTGAAATGTCACATGCCACCTTCTGAGTTGCAGTCAGACTAGAATGTAACTTCTTTTAACGACACAATAACTTTGTGTTGCAGTTATTCTGGTCAAGTTCCAGATCTGCCTCGAGCCCCATTGGTTTCACCTGGAAAAGTAAGCAGGTACCTTCTTGAAGCCCATGGAACTTAAGGAACAGCTTCAATAAACATAGAGGGACTTATTTCCATGTAAACATGCATGGAATATGAGAGAGTTCTTTTTGTATTTTCCTATATCATATCCTGACGGAATGGAAAACTGGGACCCAGAACCTCAGGGTCTGAGGAGAGCTATCCAGGACCGCATACCCTCCAAGTGTCCCAATTTTCCAGGTTCTGGAATTTTCCAGTTCTGGAATGACAGAAGCCATCCTGGTTTCTGATCTGATCCTGGAATGTCCTGGTTTTCTTTTCCCCTTTCCCCCAAATCTCAGGAATACAATTAAAAGTGGTGGAGAGATCACACACACACACACACACACACACACACACACCCTGGTCCTTATTGGAAACAGGAGCCTTCGCTGTGTGTACGAGCAAAAACGGAGTCCTGTTTATCCTGAAAATAAAATACCTGCACTAAATGAAGCTGGCATACAAAGCCTTTTTTATTTTTAAAGGAAAATATAACAAATCCACTTTAAATCCTTTAATTGCAATGCTTTAGCAGCCAGCATTTTTTTTTAAAGGAAATATGCGGAGTGTTTATTCCTTTATTGTAAATTGAGCCTTACATTGCAAGCCTTTACATGTCTACTCAGATGTAAATCCCATTGTATTCAATAGTGTTTACTCCCAGGTAACTGGGTAAAGACTGTGCAGTCTTACACTGCAATCCTAAGCATTTTTATTCAAAGGTGCTTTCCACTGAGTTCAATCGGATTTAGTCTCTGGTATGTTCCTTATCATTCTCAGTTTCTATTACAGTGGAACCTTGGTTTTTGAATGTAATCTGTTCCGGAAGGCCGTTCGACTTCCAAAACGTTCAAAAACCGAGGATCAAAGGGCTGTCAGCAAGTTCAGTGGGGAAAATTGAGAAACGCGCCTCGGAAGCTGTTCAACTTCCAAGGCGCGTTCAGAAACAGAAGCATTCATTTCCGGGTTTTTGGCATTTGGCTTCTGAAACGTTTGGAAGACGTTAAAAAACCGAGGTTTGACTGTATTATTATTAGTAGTAGTGGTAGCAGCAGCAGCAGCAGTATTTCCTGCCTTTCCCCCCGACTCAAGGCTGATTACAGCTAAAATTTTATTTCATCCCATTTATCTGTTGAAGGTGTTGTACCCGATCCCTTCCCTCACATATTTTTTTTCTTTACAACAATCCTGCGATGTAGGTTAGGCTGAGAGGTTGTAATTGGCTCAAGGTAACAGATGTATATGTGTATATGACATGTGTGTGTGGGAGATCAAACGCAGGAGAAGCTTCCTGATGTAGAATAGAACATTCCTATTTTCATCTGAGACAAGTTGGAGAGTATGGGACTGTGTGTGTTCAGGAATAATTGGTAAGACACAGGAGCAATGAGTGCTTCAAAAATCCAGTATCAACAAAGGCCAGATATTGCAAGAAGCACTGAATACTGTAACATATATAAGTTATGCAAATTAAACAAGCTGTGCGTAATTACTTACCTTTTGCATAATCAGTTTTGATGGTAAAGGACAAAGAGCTGTGAGGAAAACTGTAACCACACCTTTAGTCTTTAGACACGCTTTCAAGCATCCGTTTTGCAACATTTGCTCTTTCTAAAAAAGAGATGCAAGATCCTTAGGAAGTCAGATTTTGCAACCAATTCCACAATATTCATTTGCTGTTGTTGCTTCTGCAGAATTGTTAACATGCAGGCAGCCTTAAAATAGGGATGGCCAACATCAGCTTCTGATATATATTTATTTATTTCATAAAGTTTATATGCCTCTGGATTGTAAAAAAAAAACCAAGCAAACCCAATTACATCAAAGTGGTTTACGAAAGATAAAACTAAAATCAAGAAAAATTAACATTGGCAAGCAGTTAAAGGCCTCTATTTGCTAGTCCCAGTATAAATACTAGATCCCGGTTATAGCATTCTGTGTAACTGTTGTGAAATAAGACTCAAGTTCAACGTTGAAAAGGAGGAATCTTCCTAATGTGTGTGGCGTTTTGTCTGGCTCAACTACATTTGCCTGAGAATTTGAGCTAGTGATTTGGGAACATTGTGGAAACAGAGAAATGTAATTGAGGGGGGATTTGCTAAAGGTGAAGGAAAACAAAGGGTTAAAATCAGGGGTGGGGAACTAGATCCAGACAGCTGGCCAGTTTGTTAAACACCCCTCCCCCAAAGCCAAGCTACCTTTTGGCAAGTTTTATAGACTGGCAGGGGCAATCACTTGACATCACAATGGTGTCAGGTAATCCATTTCCTTCTACACAGTATGGAATCAAACGGTGCACACAAAGGCCCAGCTGATTAATGGATCTTGCAAAGTGCTAGGCATGGGGCTTTGCAAGACAACAGTAAATGTTATATTATAGACTGTTATGCCTTACATTTATTGTGTGAACATGCAAGCATGCAGGCTCCTGGAAGGCAGATTACATTTGCTGTCCTTCTCTGGTCCTGCTGATGCCATGCTACTGATGTCTAAGCTATGATTTTGCTTAGTAGGACTCACCTGAACTTGAGTTTCTCCTTGGTTTACAGCTTGTGGTTTGTCTGTAGCGAGAGGAACAATGACCTCATGTTCAGATGACATGCTACTAAGCCCCGGGTAGAAAGCAGCAGTAAGACCAGGGAGGAGCTCACCTCTCTGGGAATCAGCACACTTGCATGTTTGTGTGCTAAGCCGTGGCTTGGCTTTGCATAATGTGTGAACTGAGTTACTGACTCCCAGCTCAATTACAGTAAACCAGCATAATTCAACCATAAATATTTCGTGTTTAAATATGAACATCCATGCATACAAGTATTGTGTATCCCTGTGTAAAGATATAGACTCATCAAGCCCATTATTCATCTTGTAGGCAAAATAGTCCATTTTAGGATGCAGCTTGAAGTTCAGAAATTAGAAACATACCTGAAAATGCTTATTTATCATTTCGTCATTTTTTAAAACAGAATAGCATCTGCATGACAAAAGAGAGCTTCAAAGTCGTATTTCCTTTTGTTAAAAGCAGATGAATGTGTTCTGATCTGACTTCTTCTTTTTAGTGTCCCGTAATGCGTTCACATTTTTCCTTTTAGTACATTTTTTTCCTGTTTCCACTTCATATGACAGTCTTTGCTAGAAATATATTTAAATGACCTTTTTCGGCAGCGGGAGGAGAGTACAAAACACTGGTGGAAATGTATTCAGCACTAAAGGTCACATTAGAAGTATATCAGGAATTGGAGGGAAATAGATATTGAGCCCATATATATTTAGCATATACCAACGTTAGTATCTGTAACTTCCATCAAAAGGTGTTTTCCAATGCCCCAGAAATCAGCAGTCATAACTATGATTTATACTTACCTTTTATATGCAGTGAAAAGTTGATTTCTGTACACGTTGCACAATATTTGAACACCTTGGTTTGTCCAAAGACCACTGAACATAGCAGATTCTATGCCGATGGCCATTTCTGTAACCAAAACCCACCATTTTTTCCTTACCCATTCTCAGTATAGTTCAGGAATTTGCTCAGCTTGGCAGTGTTTCTGTCCCTAAGGCATGGGGGTGGTGGGGATTAGTGCCATGCATAGATTCTTGTCTTTCTTTCTCATCAGTTAGCAGAAGCAGCAAAAATTATGCAGATCAGTAAATAAATTGTAGAAGGCATTATGCAAAACAAGGGAAGTCATTCCTCGGTGCCAGATTTGCATGATTCATGCTGGCTATAGGAACATGGGAAGCTTCTGGACTTCTGGGGTGGCGCCATCGGTCATGGCGGACTCCCTCTGATCTGGAGGGACCAGCTCCACGGGAAACGGGTCTTTCCCGCTACGGCGAAGCGGGGACCCTTTCAAAAATCACAGGCGGATGAAGCCTGTGACCATGGGACTCGGCGGGCACCTTTAGCGCCCCCCAACCCGCAAAGGAACCCACTAACGGGCTCCGGAGTGAAGAGGGGGAAGTGGCGCGGTGCTGAGAGTCAACTGCTTCTTCCGTGGAGCGAAGCCGCACAGCCGCTGCCAGAGAGCGCTGCCTTTTTCCTGGGACAATTTGGCTTTTAAAACAATTACCCGTGAGTACTTAAATTTCGGACAATTGGACTTCAAATAATGATTTGCGAGTAGAAAGGAAAATTGGACTAAGAAATTTACCTCAATTTGGCACTGAAACGGGAAGGTCTAAACAGGAAGTCAGCCTTCCGTTTCTTGTAGATAGATTAAAGCAAAGACATGGCAAACTAGAGTTCAGAAAATCGCCTGTAAAGGATTAACTTTCATCATTTAAAATTGTTGAACCCCCTTCGGAAGCAGGAGAAGAGGGGGGATTTTTTCCGGACTGTTTAAACCTGCAGAAGAGAGTGTAACGCAAAGTAACTTTCCACCGTCTTGATCCTGGAGCGGGCAGTAATACTCTCATTTATTTATTCATCCGAGTTATTTCTTGATGTTTGGGCCACAGCGGTAGTCAAAAAGGGCTAGTTATATAGACCAATTAGCTTGCTACCTGTAATTAGCAAATTATATGCAAAGTATCTTTACAGTGACCTACTTGATTGGATAACTGAGGAAGCTATTCTTGCCGAAGAGCAAGCAAGATTTCGACATGGCAGACCCACTGCTTTGTACTAGCTACTTCATCTGTTTTGGCTTTCTTCAGCTGGTTTGTTTGCAGTATAAACGAACCTCTTGGAAGGGGATGTATTGATTTTAGGCATTTCCCCCCCCCCCCCCCCGTTTCGGACACCACAAAGAGTCATTTTGTATTTAACATCTTCTTAAGAAGAAAGAGAAACATTGTTTTCTGTAGGACTAATCTTATAACAGTGTACCGTTTACAGTGGTACCTCGGGTTAAGTACTTAATTCGTTCCGGAGGTCCGTTCTTAACCTGAAACTGTTCTTAACCTGAAGACCACTTTAGCTAATGGGGCCTCCTGCTGCCGCCGTGCCACTGGAGCCCGATTTCTGTTCTTATCCTGAAGCAAAGTTCTTAACCTGAAGCACTATTTCTGGGTTAGCAGAGTGTGTAACCTGAAGCATATGTAACCCGAGGTACCACTGTATATATTTCTATAGTTGTCTGTGTTCTTATCCCTACAGATATATGAGATTTACGTTAAGAATTAAATATATGCTTGAACCGTGATTACAGACATCTTCATAGAATCACGGAATTGTAGAGTTGGGAAGGCACCACAGGGGTCATCTAATCTAACCTCCTACAATGCCGGAACTTTTTGCCCAAGGTGCGCTTGAATCCACAACGCTGAGATTAAATGTCTCATGCTCTACCGACTGAGCTATTCCAGCTATCAACATCCCTTCCTCAACTTTACAATAAGCTTAATCATTTCTAACTTGCGATGGCTGCATCCTTCAAATCAGTCTAATTAAACCTGTGATCAGCAGCAATTTGTTCCTGAAGTCCCGCTTTGAAAAGGGTGCAAAGGTGGTGGAGTTCTGCTACTTTATGTTGGTGACTGAGATTTTGCTATCTAATGTCTTTCCATGGGTTAGATCTGGTCCAGAGTCCTCTGTTTGCGACTTCAAGATTAAACCTGATTGCAAGTGAGCAAAGGTGCCTTTGCCTGTTTGTTTGATAGTGGTTGTAGCTGCGGAAAGACACTGAATTTTATGCTGAGCTGGGCTGATTTCTGTGTATTAATTGGTACATGAATTGTAAATTTCTTCTTCCATGTTCACAAGCAAGTCTGTTTGATTTTTCTATCATTTCTTTCGCCGCAGTTCATAGATTGCTGTGAGAGACAAAAACACCATGTTTTAAGGACCTGAACTGATTTTGCCATTGACTCATCCTGTGCAGCTCAGATTATTCAGCAGCCCAGTGTTAAAATTTCCTGTGTGGAAAATGAGTGTCCTAAGATTATTTTTGAGGCTTTTAGATGTATAGATAAGAATGTTTAGGTTCATGTACGCATAACTTACTTTTATATTACTTTAAGGTTAATGAAAGGAAGGGGTAGGAGGGAGCGCAGTAGTATTATCTCATTTTGAGAGACTGTGGGTTGTATCCATTGAAGTCACTCTGTTCGCACATGGACTTCTGCAACAGAACTTCCCCTCCCTCTCACCCCTCTTCCACATGCCTCCAGATCTGTTCTGGAGTTTTCCCCTACCTTCCAGAGCAGATTTTTTGGGGAGGGAAAGAAAAAGAAAGAGAAAGAAAGAAAGAAAGAAAGAAAGAAAGAAAGAAAGAAAGGGTAAGTTTCATTAGACAAGTGGAAGCCCTTGCACAGAAGGAATGATTTCATTGGATACAGTAGGGGTGGACTTTGATCTTTGAAATTTTAGCGGCGCCCTGTGAGAGGCCAAAATTCAGTTCTCCTCACCTCTCGCTTTCCATTCTGCTCAGTTCACTATGACATAGTTGCAGCACCCCCTAGGCCCAGCACCCAGTGTGGTGAAACCGGTCACGCTGCCCTAAATCAACCTCTGGACACAACCCTATATAAATCACTAGTAAATCCAACTTATTTACATTTGGCAAGATCTGTGTTACTTGCTGGCCCTTGATGCAAGGTGACTGCTGTTGTTTTTCCAAGTGTTCAAGTAGCCTGATGATTACTTTTAAGTATGAAGTGCACACCTCACTAAGCCCAGATGAACCATTATGAGGATATTCAATACGGTCGTACCTTGGAAGTCGAACGGAATCTGTTCCAGAAGTCCGCTCAACTTCCAAAACGTTCGAAAACCAAAGCGCGGCTTCTGATTGGCTGCAGGAAGCTCCTACAGCCAATTGGAAGCCGCGGAAGCCCGGTTGGATGTTCAGCTTCCAAAAGAACTTTCGAAAACCGGAACAGTCACTTCCGGGGTTTGATCGTTTGGGAGCCAAAACGTTCGAGAACTAGGCTCTTTGAAAACCAAGGTATGACTGTATTCAGAATATCTTGGGCTGCATGCATACCACCTTTCAGTTTTCTTTCTTTTGTATTTTGATACACACATTGGCACACCCAAATGTATTTATGTGTATAACTGATGCTTCACTATTACATTTTCACCTATGGAACTTGCACCAGATATGTGTTCATACTATGTTGCTTTTACAAACAAAATGAAAGTTAAGAGGCATAAATATTCCAACAGCCAGAGAAGCTGAACATCTGAAACTCTCTCTGACGTCTCTAGTTGTGGTTGTCAGTCCTTAGTATCTCATCTAGTCAGACTGGCCAAGCAAGGGCTGGTGGAGCTGGGAATTAAGGAAATTTGGGGCGGGTCACACTCTGAAACTCCCACAGCTATTGCAAATGAGATGAGCCATTCACCTCTCAGTTTCTATAGGATGTTATTAAAACGTACTGCTGCTGTGTGAGGAGAGCTTTTCAGCAGGGAGCTACACTAAAAGCAGAAATATTAAGACTGGACTCTGTCTATGCAGGTAAGTTTGGCTGCACTGGGTAATCTAAGAAGTAAAAATGTTGTAAATGTTCAGCTCTTTTGACATCAAAAGTTGCAATGGAAGTTGTGGCACTGATTTGATATAAGAATTTGAATGCCAAGCTGAATTACTTACCCATTACCTCAGTATTTTGCACTTTAACAGTTGCCAGACAGGATGCTCAGGTGGTTTCATACATAGGTCATGAGATTGATGTCCATTTCCTATTGTCAAAGTGCGAAGTATGGTGGTTAGAAGACTACTGCTTCTGGATATATTGTGGGTTTGATCGTCATGGCAAACCATTGCTGATAAAGCCATCCAAGTATAATCATAACCTTTTAAGGTTATGAATAATCAGCCATCTTACGGTCATGTGGAAATAAGTTCCATAGGCAAATGCTATATTTGGAAAAGAATTTTTTGTTTCATTTGGGTGGTGTTCAACTAAATTTTCCTCAGAGTAGATCCATTGAAATTAACAAACATGACTTAAGTTAGGTCCATTTACCCCCAATGCGTATACTCTGATTAAAACTTAGTTGAATCCCACACCTTTTATTACATGTAGATGAACCTAAGATTTTTGTTTTAACTGTGTGCATGTAGGGGGATGGCATCTTCATTTAAGCTGTTCTTTTAAGGAAGATGATGATCAGTTCCTCGCCTTGTTTAACTATTTCCCTCCATGTTCTACAGCTCTAGGCAATTCTACCTGAGGAGGCAAATATTGCAGACCATATTGTTTAGCAAAATATTATAAATGTATCATAGATGTAATGGAATATAGTATAGGCACTTCTAGCCTGTAGGACATATCCCGCACCCAAAAGTTGATAGAATTAAAACTATATAAATATATAAAATTTATTTAAACCATACAAACTAGGGAAGATTGGTACTGTGTAACAGCATGTCTTCTTTTAAAGAAAGTAGTTTCTGAAAGCATAAAAAAAAACTGAAATCACCAAGCAGACTTGTGTGTGGGCTGCATACAAGGGCGAGACACTCAGACATACACCACCATCTATCTTCTGTCAGTTTCTCTTTTAAAGGAAGCTAATGCTGGCTGGCTCTACATATCTTGCAGAATGAGATGCTGGAATGCTGAGGTAATAGAGTGGACTGTATCCAGATTAGAGATGAAAAATATGACTTTCAAATTCTCCTCTCTCTCACACACACACAAAAATGAATCCCAACAAATAATACAGTTTTGTGCAATCCCTTTCCTACCGTGACCTCCAGCAGGAAGCTAGCAGGTATTCATTTGGGGGCAGAGGTAGGGGGCAGGGAAACAATATTCCATTCTGCCTGAAAACACATTTAATATACAGTGGACGCTCTGGTTGCGAATGTGATCTGTGCGGGAGGCACTTTCGCAACCCGCAGCGCCGCATCTGCGCACGCGTGGGTTGCGATTCAGCACTTCTGCGCATGCGCAAAGCGCAATTGACGAAACCTGGAAGTAACCCGTTTCGGTACTTCCAGGTTTCGGTGCGTCCGTAACCCAAAAATGTGCAACTTGAAACGTCTGTAACCCAAGGTATGACTGTAGAGCACATTAAGTCTGTGCTCTCATGTTTTATTCTCTGCAATATTAACCTCATCTTCAACACTAAAGCAGCTGAAATGTGCTGTTCTTCATACCCTCTGAGTATAGGTCTCCAGTTAGAGGTAACATGCCATTGCAGACCTCTGCTAAGGTAAAAGTTGACCTTTCTGCCTAATGTTTAACTTTTCTAGATTTCTGGGTTACTGTGTCAGAAGAGCAATTTCACTGCATTTTGCATAGTGAACTGATAGATGCATAGCAGTAAATAGAAGTCAAACTATGTTACAGAAAAATATGACACCAACATAATTCTTTGCTTTCAAATTCTTTTTAACAGGATTGCATCTTCAATGGCTGGGGAAAGATTGATCAAGTGGCTGAAATGAATATGAACACTATCCTGGAAGAGATTCTGATTAAAAGATCACAACAAAAGAAAAGGACATCTCCTTTAAATTACAAAGAGAGGCTTTTTGTGCTTACAAAATCCATGTTAGCATATTATGAAGGTCGTGCAGAGGTAGGAAACTGGGTTTAAATTGCTCGTTTTTTGCAAATTTGTGTATTGGAGGTGGTAATTGTATGTTTGCTCTGCTGATTTAATATTTATGATGCTGAACTTTGCTACTTGTCATACTGAGTTCATGCAGTTGGTACCGGATGAAAGGATCATAACCTTTATCTTAGTTTACCTTCTGTGTGCAGGGGCATACCTAGGGGTTAGCCAGGTTGCCGCTTGCCAAGGATGCAGGCCCAGTGCGGGCACAAAAAAATCGCACCTCTACACTCTGGCTTGGAGTGGCTAGAACTCCTACTGCCCACACTTCTGCCCCATTCCCTGAGCTGCTACTCCATGGCTCTGGGTGGCCAGTCAAGGTGCACAGGCTCCTCTCGGCACCTTTGTGGAGGAATCCAGTCATTGGTGTGGGCTGTCACAGCAGCCTTCCAGGGCCTTCCAGCCTTCCATTTGGTCGAAGTGTGAGTGGAGCACCCAGGGAGGCTGCACATCAGAGTAGCAGTCCATTGAGGGAAGAAAGATGGAGAGTTGCAGGAGGAGGAAAAAGGAAGGGAGGAGGCAGAGGGAAAAGCAGCAAGTGGAGGGAGGAAAGCAGGAAGGCAGGCAGATGGACTGATGGAGGAGAAGGGGAGGAGGAGCAGACCAGATCTGACCCCAATGACCATGGAGGAAGTCACTGGCACAAAAGGCGACAAAAAGCAAATGTTTAAAGTTTCTGGTCCATAGTCTCTCCTGGTTTTGGAGGTGCCGATCAGCTCCTTGCCAAGGTACAAGGAAGCTGAGGTATGCCTCTGTCTGTGTGAGATGAGTTAGACTGCACTGACAAAGCTGGAAAATGCTTTGCTTGTTGCAAAATCAGCTGCCCTGTACAAAGGACTGAGCATCGAAATTGTAGCGGGTAGGAGGTAGAATAGGGAAGTGGCATGTTGATTCACTGCATTGTTTTATGGGGGGAAAGAACTAGATGGAGTTGAATATCATTTTCTTAAAATCATTTTTTAAAAAAAGGGGCTGTAACATTTATGCGTTGTGAAATCACTTTGTATGTGACGTAGAACTTATCTCGCATGACCGCATTACAGGACTGCGCCAAAGTGAAGTGGTACAGGTCAGTCAGTGACGCATTTACTGTAAATCCTGCCAGGGTTCGTTGAGAGTCAACATCCCAAATGGGTAACACGGTTGGAATCCTAAGGTCAGGTAGAAGGAAGCTAGACGAGGGTAAAGGAAAGCAGTGTAGTCTAAGGCCCAAGTGGCAGAGCATGAAGGAAGAGCGGTAAGCAGCCAAGGTAGTTTAAATAATAAAAACAAAGAAGCAAATGTTACAAATTATAGGATAGTTCCCTCAGGAGGACTGGTGGTCCTTTTAGGAACTGGTGGCATGGGCTCCCAGGTCTGGGCTTATTCACTTCTGCCTTCCATCAGGGCACAGAAGGTTAGGTAAAGGTAAAGGGACCCCTGACCATTAGGACCAGTCGTGGCTGACTCTGGGGTTGCGTCGCTCATCTCGCTTTATTGGCCGAGAGAGCCGGCGTACAGCTTTCAGGTCATGTGGCCAGCATGACTAAGTCGCTTCTGGTGAACCAGAGCAGTGCACGGAAACGCCGTTTACCTTCCTGCTGGAGCAGTACCTATTTATCTACTTGCACTTTGACATGCTTTCGAACTGCTAGGTTGGCAGGAGCAGGGACCGAGCAACAGGAGCTCACCCCGTCGCGGGGATTTGAACCGCCGACCTTCTGATCGGCAAGTCCTAGGCTCTGTGGTTTAACCCACAGCGCCACCCGCGTCCCACACAGAAGGTTAAGGGGAGGCTTTTTATAGCCAACTTCAACAGCACTCACAGATTGTGGGACTTTAAACGCATCACTGGGTAGTACAGTACAGCCCGCAACTCCTTCAGCAGACGTGGTAAGGCACTGGAGAAAAGCATGTCCTGACTCAAAACCCACAGAGCCTTACAAACCCTAATTAACGTTTAAATTGTGGGTTGCGTGGTCTGCGTTGGTATGGAAAGAATAGTGGCAAATGGGCCGTTCTCCCTTCTTCCCCTCCCTGCTTGAACCCTTGTCCCAGGAGGTTTTTTATGCTCTTTACAGGCATGCAAATCCTGCTGATGGAGCTGCTGGGTACCTTTCTCCTTTCTCCCCCACTTGTGCTATGCTCCAGAAACAGTGGTTGTGATGGGTGGAAAGGGATTCATAACACTTCCAGTAGGGATGCCTGTGACCTGGCAGTAGCGGGGTTGCTTTTATTCATTAAAATCATTTACACACCACTTCCCACTCAAGGAACCTGAAGCAGTTTACAGAATTAAATTCTAACACTCAAATGTTAAAAACATAAAATTAAATAATATACATAAAATCAATAGCAAGCAATAAACAATATCAGGGAGATGCAATGTTTAAAATGGGCCAGTAAGCTAGCTGCAAAAAATGTGTTTTTAACCGTGGACGCCTCCTGTATAGCAGGCAGCAGAACATTCCAAAGAGTGAGCGTTCCAAGAGAAGAACTGTTTCTGTGTCATCTCCAAGCAACATGTTGTAAAATGTGGCCCCACTAGCAAGGCCTCTTGTGAGGATCTTAACACCCTAGTAGATCTGTATAGCACAAAGGTGATGGTTTATGTACCCTGGTCCCAGGTTTATGACTTCGTAGGCCAGCAAAAAATCCTTGAAAATGGCCCAGTAGAATGGTTGGCCAGCACAGTGCATGGCTAGGTTGCAGCTTCCAAACGAATCCCAAGGCCAGCCCCATAGAAAGCACATGAGAGCAGTCAAGAAGTGAGATCACCTGTGCTTAGCTGTGCTCTTTGAAAGCTTATTATTATTCCACAGCATTCAGGAGTCCATTGGATCCCATAAATTTCTGGGGCAGATCACCTTAATGGGTTCACCACCCTAGCAAGGGCAGGGGGACTGGAATCGCAAGCCTGGACTTCACCAGATAGTGGACTGACCATGACAGTGGGGTAATTTGAACCCTTCCACCTCATATCCAGGACTGCTGCCCTTCACATGAGGCATGGAATAAATTGAGGGGATGCTTTTTTCCCGTTGGCCCAATGACCACTTGAGACAGCCCCATGGCTGTCATGGAGGCCATGAAGCCGCAAGACAGCCCAGTCAAGACAGCCTCAGTGTGAATACTGAAGTACCCCAGAACCTATTGATGGCTATACTAGTGGGGTTGATGAACTGGGAGTGTTTTGATGTCACCATGTGAGTGCAGGGAGTATACTGTGGGCATCCCTGACACTATGAGCTCTTGAGCTCTCTCCAGTTGTGTATGGTATGTGGACATTGGCACTGGTAATCCCTGATTGGTTGGCACTGGTAGTATTTTCAAGTACAAACTAAGGAAGAAACTGGGGAACTACTGAGACTATAAAGTACGACAGAAAAAGCAGGGACAACTGGAATACCTACAGAGTATATTCTTCATTTGTGCAATTGCATTATTGTATGCAGAATGTGTTTCAAAATGGAAAATTATTACTTAGTACTGAAATTTCACAAGGGCATTGATGTAAGAGCTTGTGCTGAGCAGTGCCTGGTTGGATGGATGCAACCCAAGACCAAGAAACTAAAGCTAAAAATTCACAAGGGATTTAATTTTTCATGGGGTGGGGAGAGTGTCTTAAGTTAAATGTGCATGGTATCTTCCAGATGTCAGTAGTTGTGTATTGGGAGGCTGAGGAGCAAGGAAACATGTTTTCTGGAGAAGTAAGACAACAAATCCATTTTTAAATTGTGAAGAAAAAGAATTGTTATGTCAACCAAGCAGAGCTGTGCTGGTGCAGATGGACTCTGGGTATTGTTACAATGTGAGAGCCATTTAAACCAGAGGCTTGAAAATGATTTTGCAGATTTTGAAAAGGAAATGCTGATTTGAGGTATTGAGGGTTCACTCCTATGCCTGCTTTCCTGTATGTAAGGATGAAACATGCATATGATTCTGTTGGCTAAAGCATTTCATAGGTCCTGCTTTTCAGAGGATTTAGTGTAGCTAAATCCTCTGAAAAGGATTTAGGGGCGCGGGTGGCGCTGTGGGTTAAACCACAGAGCCTAGGACTTGCTGATCAGAAGGTTGGCGGTTTAAATCCCCGCGACTGGGTGAGCTCCTGTTGCTTGGTCCCTGCTCCTGCCAACCTAACAATTCGAAAGCACGTCAAAGTGCAAGTAGATAAATAGGTACCAGCGGGAAGGTAAACGGCGTTTCTGTGTGCTGCTCTGGTTCATCAGAAGTGGCTTAGTCATGCTGGCCACATGACCCGGAAGCTGTACGCTGGCTCCCTCGGCCAATAAAGCGAGATGAGTGCCGCAACCCCAGAGTCGGCCACGACTGGACCTAATGGTCAGGGGTCCCTTTACCTTTAGTGTAGCTCAATGAAATGCTGGTGTTTGACAGATGCTGTCCCAGTGCAGTAGTCTCAAAGCCATATGCGTTTTAATCAAAATATTTGGATCCTTCTTTTCTATCCAAGGTGGCAGTCATTGTAGTTTTCTTTAAAAGCAGTTCCAGCATGAAATCAAGCACTTTCTCCCTTCTCCAGTAGAAATAACTCCCCGGCAATCAGCACAGCAGATGTAGAGCCTCTGATTTGAAACAGGCCCTCATGCAGTTCTGCGTTTGCAGGCAACAGTAAACCAGACTTTCTGGCCTATCATGGTGTACCAAGAACAAGCAGCATGCTAGGACATGCTGCCCAAACACTCCCTTTTCACACTCCACTGGTGAAAGTGGGACAAACAAACCTTGATCTGAACCAGTGATTGTGGTTCGTGACTTCCTAACAAGCCATGGTCACTGGCCAACACGAAGCCAGCCGTGGTTTGTTGCTGGCTTTCTGATTTTGGCTTGTTAGGGAGCAATGAACCACAATCTCTGCTTTAGATGTCATGGTAAGCCAAGGCTTCCTGGTTTGTTTAGCCTGTTTCCACCAGGGGAGAATTGAAGCTGGAACAGGGCAGCCTGGGGCAGCATGTTGCTCATTCCTGTTAAGCCGCAATCAGCCAGAAAATCTGGCTTATCTTAATGTCTGAATGCAGAGTGTGTATACGTAGTCACTTAAAAAATGTCAGCATGTTCAGTGCAGGTTGAGCCAGCTGTCCAATATTTTACTGCCACAAACCTGCTTTTGTTTTGCAAATAGTAATCTGTGCATTTATCTTTCTCATAGTCCTCCTTTGGTCTAGAAAGGGAACTGCTTGGTCTAGGAAAGGAACAGTGAAGATTCTATGATAATTACCTTGGTAAACAACAACAAAAGCAGATGTGGAGAAGGCTCTGAAAGGTCTCCACTGCACTGGGTGTGTGGGTTGGTTCTAGTTACTCAGCAACGAGGAAAGGCACTTTGCACAATGCTCAGACACCCTTTGTTTTCTCAGATTCTTCATTCATTGAAAACAAATGCTGATGCAAAACTAGAAATCCAGTGCATAGCTAGGAAAAGAATACAGATATTGCTGGAATCTTTGATTCCCACAATGAGAGCTAGAGACTAGCAGTGTTTGGAGGGCCACAGATTCCCCATTTCTGTTTAAAATTACAAACAAAATCATGGTGGATCTTTTTGAGGGAGCTCCCATGTTTCTTAGTAACCAAAACCACAGGCTTCCCAGAGATGAATACAAAGCTGCTTTTGTAAATTTTGGCCTAGCAGTCAGTGGTGGGACCTGCATTATGGGGGCCCTGAATCTTGAGCTGTTATGGGGGCTCCTTCACAACCAGCAGCGAGGTCTGGGTAACCACCATTATCTTCTTCAGTGGGGTTGTTCCATGACAGATCACCACATTATTATTTTTTTACGATTAACTGCTAGATCTCAGATTTTGATTAAATTTGCTGTGCTGGATTATCTCACATCTCAAAGTCACTAATGTGATTTTAAAAATTCCTATGCCTTATAGTTTTTGAGTTATGGAGGGGTGAAAGTTAGGGAAATGTTATATATAAATATATATGTGATTCATGTTGCATCAAAGAATGATGAAATTGGGTCAAAGGTAGGATTCAGTGGCTTAGCCAAGCTGATGTTTTCATAGTACTGGTGACACAAATCCGTTGTAAACACAGCAACATAATTAAGTAAGGCAGATCTATAATGGGTTTGTATCTCTAGTGCTGGCAAAAGTGGCTGCTCTGTTCTCACTGTCATCTTCTTGTGTTTTCAAAACAGTGCAAAGCCTTGAAATAACCTTACTGTGCATTGTATCTGTCCACTTTCCTCCAAGTTCAGTAATGCTTCAGTAAAGCTGAGAGGCTAATAATATGGTTAGACATTCCTGTTCTCAGACAGTGAGGTCTAGGGCAGGCATAGGCAAACTCGGTCCTCCAGGTGTTTGGGGACTACAACTCCCATCATCCCTAGCTAACAGGACCAGTGGTCAGAAATGATGGGAGTTGTAGCCTATGCCTGGTCCAGGGCTTTAGTTTTCATTCAGGTGACAGATCACTAGTACTTAATTGTGTCTTTATAATAACAGTAGATATATAGTACACCCACCCCAAAGTGAGACCCGGGTTCCCCCTTCTTCATTCACTAAGCCCCAGGAATGTTGTACCTAAATCCTGGGTGCCAATCCCCTGGACTATAGCAGGGTGCCAAATAACCGGGCCAAAACAACATTGCAAGGTAGAGCTGTTGTGCTGCCCCCACCCGCTTGCTTCCCAACCTGAGCCAGGGGAGTATTGTGTTTCTGGAAATCCATGGGATTCATGAAAACAACAGCCAAACAGACAAGCCTTCTGAGCTCCAAGCCCACAAATTACTTGGTAGCATTGTACCAGTCAAGTACCAATTTAGAGCTAGATTTATTTAAGAAGCCACACCAAGATAAACGAAGCAATTTCCTAAGGAGATTATAGGCATAGGAACATAGTACCCATAAGAAGACAATTAAGAAAAAGGCTAATAGTGTAAAAATACAGTTGAGAATTTAAGTACAGCTGTACCTTGGTTCTCGAACGGCTTAGTTGTCAAACAAATCGGCTCCCAAATGCCACAAACCTGGAAGTGTTGCGGTTTGCAAATGTTTTTTGGAAGCCAAACATCCGACACGGCTTCTGCTTGAGTGCAGGAAGCTCTTGCAGCCAATCGGAAGCCGCGCCTTGGTTTTTGAACGGTTTTGGGAGTCGAATGGACTCCTGGAATGGATTAAGTTCAAGAAACGAGGTACCACTGTACTGTACAGAATGGAAAACAACAAAGCTAGCTTGCCTCACCCTAGCACTAACTGTTAGAGTCACTTAACCAGGAAGCAGCAGAATTTTAAGGTCATATATATATATATAATAAATGTTCATAAATATACCAATGTCTGGAGCAGCACAGGAAGACCTTCCTGAAACTATTTTGACTCCCTGAAACCATTTTAACTCCCAAACTGACCAAATGTTTTCTCTGCAAGGAGGGAGGGGGTGGGGGAACTTTCCCATTATCTCAGGAAGTGGGTGATCACCATTTCAGAGGAATGGGCGGACTACCAGGAGAGGCAATCAGATAAGGCATTATCAGAAAACCTGCTAGACAGGAAAAACAACAACACTCAAATTTCTGTTGTAGACCGCCTTTTCTGTGATGTAGGTATGATGTTTGTGGGGGGTGGTCTTGGGTTACACCCCTTCTGTGATGTATGTGTGATGCATGGAGGGGTGGTCTTGAGCTCCAAGGCAGGGAATTTAAAATGTCTATATAAGGGCAGGCACACCGTTGTTCTAGGTCCTCCTCCTTTCCTGCATGTGAGGGGAGCACCCTGTTGCAACAGATCAATAAAGATCAGGCTTACTAGCTGCTTTGCTTCTCAATATTCTCTGGTTGGCCTCTGTTATTTTCTCCTACCAATAGGGAACCCACGTAAGGACTCTATATGGGCTTTTGGATACCCCATAAGGGAAGAAGTGCAGATTTTGTTTACAACAGATGGCGACGCATGAAGGGACATTTGGTTGCCCGGATTCTGGGAGCGAGGAAGGACTGGTGATCCAGCGCGCGCCAGGCAGTTTGCCAGGAGGAGCCACCAGTCCTCCAGCGATCCCAGGGTCTGGAAATAACTGGAGATCCACCGGGGTTAACCAGAGGAAGCAAAGCTCAATCAGGCCGGCCTTAAACAACCAGTCAAGAGATCCCGGGATCGCCAGGAACAGTGCATGCGGAAGTGAGTATAAGTAGGAAACACGGGTAGTGGGTTGGGTTCTCTAAACCACAGCAACCAAAATTCTTATAACAACAACATATCCGCAATATCCATACCAAATGGGGCAGCTGATAGAAGATCAGAACCATTTTTATAAGAAATGGTCTGGATACAAGAGACAGTTGTTGCTTAGCCCATCAGTGCCTAAGAATAATTTCTAGTGCTAGAGGGTGTATGTCCTGGTTCACCACCGAGACACCTGAGTTAATTTCTGCCACAGGGTGGCAAGAAGGAACTAATTAATAGGACTTTCCTCCCCAGTGAGTGCTCTGAAACCTGAGCTAAAAGCCATTTTAAAATAGGCATTCTGAATTGGTTTTCCTTTGGCTTGCCTTCACACTTGCCTTCCGGCCACTGTGGTGAAGCCTGAGTTCATGCTGTTTTCCTTCCCAATCCTCCGTTTTAATGCACCAGAGAAAGAAACTAGAAGTTTCTGGTTTTAAACCCACCACAGTTCCTAGCGAAACTAAGCTTCAGCCTTCGTTGTTCCAACCAGTATTGAAATAAACTGCTATTTAAATAAGCCACAGTTTATCCAAGAACCAATGGCACAGAATCTGTAGTTAGTTCAAAATCAGAAACATATTCTTTCAATCCCTTCCTCTTGTGTGCTAATAAGGATTGGTGAGTGTAGATCGTGTAAACAGAGAATCGCAGCTCTTTCAGATAGCAGGGAGCCTTGTCTGAACTGAGCCTTCTATATCTATTCAAACTAAAATAAAATGATTTTCTCCACCTTCAACCCCTGCATACACACGTTGAAGGTGCATTGCCAGTCATTAAAACCTTCATTTGGTAACCTCCACAAAGGAAGCACCAACCAACCCACTGTGATTATTAACAAGCTGTCAGTTTAACAATGGATGGTCGCCCAGCATCTGTAATAAAACTAAGAAAAGTTGCTGCCAGTCTGTTTGCTGATTCTGAAGTGGTCCATTAATCTGGTGTGGGTCATAATTCACCTGAATTGAATCAGGTGAATCTGCTTTGGAAATTGAATAGGGTGGATTTCTCCTCCATCTCAAATAATAGCATGTAACTTATTGTATATCGGATGCCATATTGGAAATACTACATGGTGAGGAATTAATCTTCTTTGCTTTCTTGAGAACATTGTGGGTAGCTTGACATGAGTGGCAGCACATATGCTGTACATATTTTACTCTGTTTCTGTTCGTTAATATAATTATCCCAGTAAAATATCCTGGGACTCCTTTGGAGTTCATCAGCAGGATAAAATCGCTGATTCTTCGCGAGATCAGCTTACCTGAAATATTTTTTCGTCCACCATCTTCAATATGTAGCTGTCCGGGTGTGCGTTCGGCTTCTGCTGGGATGTGCTTCTTGAATGTGCCTTGGATCACTCCCAGAGTCTTCTCTTCTCATGAGGTGGCCAAAGTATTGGAGTCTCAGCTTTTGGAAGGACAGATGCTGAAGCTGAGACTCCAATACTTTGGCCACCTCCTGAGAAGAGAAGACTCCCTGGAAAAGACCCTGATGTTGGGAAAGATGGAGGGCACAAGGAGAAGGGGACGACAGAGGACGAGATGGTTGGACAGTGTTCTCGAAGCTACCAGCATGAGTTTGACCAAACTGCGGGAGGCAGTGGAAGACAGGAGTGCCTGGCGTGCTCTGGTCCATGGGGTCATGAAGAGTCGGACACGACTAAACGACTAAACAACAACAACATAGCCCTCCAGAATTTGCTGGGCTACAGTTCCCATCTTCCCTGACAGCTGGCCATGCTGGTTGGGGCTAATGGATGTTGGAGCCCAGCGATATCTCAAAAGGGTCACAGGTCCCTTGTGTTGAAAGATGTGTCTGCATAGCCATATATGTGCTCATGTGAGGGAAGAAAGCACGTTATTTTCATTGGAGTCAGATTGACTGGACCCCAAACTACTTGTAAGGGGGAAAAACCTGTAGTAAAACAATCTAAAATAATGCTAACATGCAGAGTTGTTCCTTGACATTTTCCATAAAGTTTGCTGATGCTGATATGTGCGCAACTTGAGGCGTTTTATTCATTTATTTTTAAGAACTGTAGGCTGTGTTTCTCATGCATATTTTTAGCTTTATCTAGATTCATGCATCCTGACATACTTCCTGATTCTGAGCAGTGAAGCGAGAACACTGAGTTCACACTTTTTGCTTCTCGGCCTTGCGTTGCTCCTAAACGGTTTTATTTGGATTTTCTTGATTGAGCATGCGACAAACGCAGTTTACCAATACTTTCAAAGAGACTTTTCAACGACAATGCTGTAGTGTAGCAGAGTGGGAAGAGAACAGCCTTTCTGCAGGGAGAAAGTTTTGTCGCTTCAAACAAATGTTTGCTGGGTGTACATTCCCACACAGGAATTGTACTGCAAAGTAATGCAATGCGTCATTGACTGAGGCTGAGGGCTGGGTGTGGCTGGCTGTTATAGCCAGGGAGTCGACCAGAGGGAAGAAGTTTTCCCTCTGGTCCATTGTCTAAATCGTGCCCCAAAGCTTGCCTGCAATTGGCCGCAACCACAGAGGAACCCCAGCAGCCAGCACAGCTGGCAGAGGAGGAGGTTATGCCCTTCTCTGGCCACGCTGAAGCCAGAATTTCCCCCCCAGCCACAGCTGCTCCAGGCTGCAACCATCACTCCCCACCAGCCGGCAGATAAACAGCTATTCCCACATACAGTAGGAGTCGTACAACAGAGTTTAAATGGTTCGGAAGATTTCAGAGCATTGCTTGCAGGAGGATTTTATTTACAGCCGTTTATCTCTTTAAAATTCTTGCTAGATGTGCATTGGATTTTTAAAAGGGTGAAATGAAATATCCGGGAGCGACGCGTTAAAGCCACATATATATAGTAAATGGAAAAGAGGTGCATATTTATTGCCACCAACTATTGTGTAGAAAGATTTTGTGTACTGCTCCATTCTTTGTTGTGAATTGGGTGTTAACATGTGCACCAACAGCTTTTATTTTCCCTTTCCTCTGGTTTTGGTCCTTTATGAGCATATAAATTTACGCATGTTTTGAGGGATGCTTTCCATCTTCATAACTGGATCACTTCCAGAAGGCCTGCAAAAAGAACAGTCATCCTGTACTTGTACAAAATTTGTTCCATAGTTATACTATGTCCGCTATTTACTGAAGATTCGGTCTAGTTTTTTATTAATAGTTTCTTAATTGAATTTTTCAAAAAGAAACAAAAACAGTCAAACGAAACAAACTAAATAATTTGTGAGGAACTTCTGTGACACTGAACCAAACCATTGTTATTCCACACTTCGGGCTATATTTCCCCCTCACTTTCCTTACTGCAAACAATTACATTTTTTTTGGAAAAATATTTGTTGGGAAAAATTTGTCATGCCCATTTGAATTATGTAACCTTAATTTTCTGGCATGTGATTGAATCCCACTTGCACCATAGCAACAATCTTAACTTAAACTTAGTTAATATGATTAGACAGCAAATAATATTGTTGCTTAAAATATTGACTTATGAAAGTTTAAGACACATGGCTAGTTGTGGATCAGACATTGGTATGCAGAAATCTTCTTGACATACTTGTGTCAGTCTCTGAAGAATGAATCATTATAAATTCATTTATGGGAGTCACTTGCAAGAACACTCCTAGTAATGAAAATTGATTTAATAATCTGAGTAAGAAATTTAACCCTATGAGGGTTTTTTACTATGTCTTCTGTCTTCTGCAGTCGTTGACAGCTATCAGTAATTATGATGCATTTGTGCTCCACCTTCAGGAATGTCAAAGCCATTGAGCAATGTGTTGTTAAGTTTCACTTGAACAAGAATTGTGCTGTGCCCTCTTCTGGCATAGTCCATAAAATTGAATTTTGCAATATCTCTGAAATTTTGTACTGTAATCTCATGCATTTTAAAAATGTGACCTCTTTACACATTTGTTTGACATGTTGCAGAAAAAGTACCGAAAAGGATCAGTTGACATTTCCAAAATCAAGTGTGTGGAAATCGTGAAGAATGATGCTTTAGTTATTCCCTGTCAAAATAAATACCCATTTCAGGTAAGTTTCTAGGGTTGAAAACGCAGTCAACTCCATAAATAACTAAGTCTAGTCCCGATGTTTGGACTACAGCTCCAGGAGAGCAAGAGGGTGCGCACCGATCCCTCTTGCTCTCCCGGCTTCAGCAATAGCTGCGCAGCCTGCATTCACTCCATAAGACGCACACACATTTCCCCTTACTTTTTAGGAGGAGAAAAGTGTGTCTTGTAGAGCGAAAGATACGGTATATCAGTGTCACAATAGCACCATACATATCTATGGTGCAACCACAAATTTGAATACTGTGTACCCTTGCCTCAGTAAGGATATGCAGAGCTGGAAAAGGTTCAGAAAAGGAAAACCAAATGATCAAGGAGATGGGACTACCCCCCTATGAGGAAAAACACAACATTTCCTGTTTGTGAGTTCAAGGGGGAAAGTGAGCAAGGAGAAGGTTGAGAGAAGTTTGGGTCACTCATTGAAGCTGTGTATTGGAAGATTCAGGAGAGGCAAAAGGAAGTACTTCACACAACACTTTGTTTAACTATGGAATTGTCTCCCAGAAGATGTAGTGATGGCCACCAACTTGGATGAACACTACCTACCTGGGCAGATGAACGAGACAATCAGAAACAGTACCTTCATCTTGACAGAACTGAGTGTTAGTTTACTGGTCCAGTCTATTACGGATCCCAAGCACCAATTTTGCACTTATTGAGGAGATATGAGCTGTATAGTAGTCAATAAAGCACAGCCAATATTGCCACTCTTATCGTAACTTTTCTCTTCTTCGTCCTTTCCAGGTTGTGTATGAAAACAGCACACTTTATATTTTTGCTCCCACTGCATACAGTAGAGATCAGTGGGTAAGGAACTTGAAAGAAGGTAACTGCAGCTGTTTATAACATTTGCATATGAGTGGAGAGAAGGAAAGAACCCTGATCGAAAAGGCTAACAAAGAACTTTCACAAATGTGCATACTGATGCATCCCCAGCCACCATTATTTAAAAACAGAAAATAGCAATTTGCGTCTAGTGATATATTTCTTGGTGAGAGGGAGGAGAAGTCAATTGAAAACTATGTGGGGTAGAACAGTGAGAAGGGGATCATAACTACTTGTACAAGTCATGTCTTCATAAGAAATAATATTTCAACATCTTCAACATTTATTTCCCTCTTCTTGGGAACCCTAAGAATAGATCTAGATACCATCAAATGCATCTTCCTTAAACACTTCCCTTCTGGTTAATGCTAATGTTGGAGCATGGTACATGCAGGAGATAACAAGCTGCTTAACCCTTCCTGCGTCTACCAGCAAATGCCTTCTTCAAGGGCAAACATTTTCCCTGCAGGCGTCTTATGGTCTTCTTATGATCTTGAAGACTGTCCCAGTGAATTCTTTTTAAAGTATTTGCAGGAGAGAATCAGTGGACAAGGGATTAAGCACCTCTACCCATTGATTTTTTTCTCTTGTAGTTCCCCTACCAGTCGTTGCCCCATGTTTATGTTATGGAGCCAAAATAGGACTCCCAGTGCTATGGTGCTGAGTAACATCTAATTCCATCCTAAGAATGGGCCTGTAAGGGCCTGTATGTGGGCCTGTAAGGAAGTAGGAATCTCTAATGGAGGACTCTCAGCGCCTGACTAAATTGTAATTCCCAGAATTCATTGGGAGAAACCGTGATAGTTAAATTGATGTAAACTGAGTATAAATTTCAAGTAGAGGTTGAGGCATAATTTAAGGTCTTTGACTGTGTAGAATCCCCACTTTATCTACTATGTTTTGGATTATGAGAGCAGCAAAGCAAAAAAAAAAAAAAGAACTGTATCCCACACAAATGTATCCCAAAATAAGGAAGTACTCAGAGCAAAGCCCAAAACTTCATTTTACCATAGATGATTTGGTCGTTAATGATATGGTAGATCATTTGACTTTTAATAATGTCTGAATAATGCCTGTTTGCATAGATATTTTATATTTTGGTGGCGTTTTTCATGTTCCGGTGTACTTAATCTCTGAAGAGTGGAGATGTGTCAATAAGGATGGTTCCCTTAGGCTAAAATATTAACAGTGCTGAAGCTAGAAGATTAAATTACTAACAAAACATGGCATTTTGGCCTGAAATGTTGGCATTTTTCTTTTCTGTAGAAATAAAAAACAACAATAATATAATGGTTAAGTACCACCCTAAATTCTGGACAGATGGAATCTACCAGTGCTGCAGACAAACAGAAAAATTAGCGCCTGGATGTGAAAAATATAACCTCTTTGAAAACGGTAAGTGCTTGTATTCATTGTACCAGGGTAGCCAGACTTCAGGCTTGTACAATCTGCACCCTTATATCCCGGAACCCTAAAGTACACCAACTGGACCTAGGTTGCAAACTAGTGGCTCAGGTAGGTAGACATACACTAAGAATTAAGAGTCAAAAGCTCTGAGCACATTTTCAGCCCAAGACTTTTTGATCCGTATCAGAACCAAGCTCACCAGGCCAAGCGTTCTTCTTCAGCAATTTAATGTGGTAGTGGGGAAGCTTTTTACTTGCTGCTGTTGTGTTGGAATCTAACCCCACCTGTGTGTATCTGAAGAAGTGTGCATGCACACAAAAGCTTATACCCAGAACAAACTTAGTTGATCTCTAAGGTGCTAATGGACAATTTTTAAATTTTTTTATTTATCCCATCTCTTCAGTTTCCCTCCCCGCAGCCTCCCAGATTGCTCCCCTTCCTCTCCTCTCAGTTATTTCTCTTTATGTTCAGCTGCTCTGGTTTCAATATGAACTTTCAAAAAATGAAAGAGGAAATGGGAAGTGTGTCCCTCGATGTACTTTTGGAGGCAGGTAGATGGTAATGATCCTTGCCAGCTTATAATGAAAGCCAAGAAACCAACTCTATGAGGCTGAGGTGTATTCGCCCCATAGCATGTGGTGTAGTGGTTAAGAGTGGTGGACTCGTAATCTGGCGAACCGGGTTCGATTTCCTGCTGCTCCACATGCAGTTGCTGGGTGACCTTGGGCCAGTCTCAGCCTCACTCACCTCACATAGTGTTTGTTGTGGGGGAGGAAGGGAAAAGGAGATTGTTAGCCGCTTTGAGACTCCTTAGGGTAGTGATAAAGCGGGATATCAAATCGAAACTCCCCCTCCTCCTCCTCCTCCTCCTCCTCCTCTTCTTCTACTACTACTACTTCTTCCCTCATATCTGTTGAAGGGACAGAAGAGGCTGAGCGTGGAGCCAAGAGCAGAATGGCTTCAGTGGCTGGCTTCTCCTGAACACGAGAGAGGAGGAGCCCCCTGCCTCCACTGAAACTGTGCTTCACTGGGCTCTGCGCTCAGCCTCCTCCCGATGATGTGTGCGCAATGCGTGCGCATAATGTCACATGCATGCAACTCGTGCTGGGTCCATGGCGTCGTACACGGTACCTCTGATGAAAGCAGTTGTGAGCAGCAAGGTTCGTAGACTTTGTGGCCATGCATAAGGATGCAGCTTTGGCAACCCTAGTGTTTAATAATTGCCAGTCATGCCAGTCTTGTGCAAATCACCCAGAGATATGTCAGCAGATCCCAATCTACCTTAAGGTCATCCCTGTTGTGTACTATTTATGGACCTACTTAGACTCATACTATAACCAGGGTGATTGCTGCCACCTCCATAAAGGTTCCTATTCCTGTTTAAATGCTTCTGCCTGTGGTGGTTATTGTTATTATTATTAATTGAATTTATATACCATCGTATACCCAGGGGTCTCAGGGACCTTGGGGTCCCTTTCAACTCTACAATTCTACAATTCTTCTGACAGCATGTTCAGCACACTACACCATACAATGTCACCATACACATTTTCAGATTCTGCTTTGAACCACAATGATGGTTAATGTTGATGCCAAATTAACTTAATGGGTTAGACCCAGTGTGGAAAATTTGCACATCAGAAGTGCAGGGGGGGGGAGAGAATGCATGAAATCCTGTGGCTCGCTTTCATCTGTGTTGGTTAATCCATAACCATTTCTAATGGTTGATCAATCAGCAGCATGATATGATTAGGGGAAGTGCAACCATTCTGATCTTTCAAAAATCTTGATGTTACATACTTAAGCCTTTAACAGATACCTCTAAATTCAGACTCTGTGATTTCTATGGTTTGTTTTAGGTATGAAGACTTTGCCTCCATCAATGCCGGATAAAAGTAAGGTAAGGAGAGAATTCAGAGCACTAAGGAGCTATAGCTGATAAGAGTTAATGGTTGCTAGTCTGATGGCTGTATTATCAGCAGTATCAGAGGTGGTTTATCTCTGAGTTGCGGTGGATCACAAGTAAAAAAGTGTTGTTGTGCTCAGGTACTGCTTGAGCTTCCTATTGGCATCTGGCTGGTCACTGTAAGATTTTATGGGTCTTTGGTCTGATTCAGCAGGGGTTGTCTTATTCTTTTAACTTACATTCAGTTCTGTACTATTATAATTGGAACTATATATTTCAGGTTGTAATACAACCTGAAATATAGGTAATCCAAATCCAATGGGGGTCTGAATAAAAGCTCCAACTCCACGGCCTAGGACCCTCATACCTACGGGACCGCCTCTCCCGGTATGCCCCACAGAAGACCTTAAGGTCCATAAACAGCCGCACCCTAGAGGTCCCGGGCCCTAAGGAAGTTAGATTAGCCTCAACCAGAGCCAGGGCCTTTTCAACACTGGCTCCGGCCTGGTGGAACGCTCTGCCTCATGAGACCAGGGCCCTGCAGGATCTGATTTCTTTCTGCAGGGCCTGTAAGACAGAGTTGTTCTGCCTGGCTTTTGGCTTTTGATTCCCTCCCCCTCTTTCTTTTTCCTTTCTCCTCCTGTTGATGAGGCTGCTTTTTAATGTTTTAATGTTGTATTTTAATCTTGTTTTTAAGTTGTATTCATTCAACTTGTTTTTATTATTGTTTGTTAACCGCCCTAAGCCTGGCCTTGGCTGGGGAGGGCAGGGTATAAATAAATTTTTTTATTATTATTAATGGACTCAGCATACACATGTTTGGAAACATGTATCTGCTGAGGCAACATATCATTATACCCTGACTGTCATGTGCTGTGCCATATGCTATGCTTAATTATTCTACTCAGATCAGTATGCTGTATTTCCATACAAATGCTAGTATTCAAAGGCATATGCTTATGCTAGATCTGTGCAAACAGGTTTCTGTCTCTTCTGTCAAAACTCCCAAGCCAATTCTTAGCAACCAGACACCCACACCCTGCAGCTTGCCTCCCCTCCAACCACCCACTACATCCTACCTGTTCTAAACTTGCTAACCTAAGCCCAGGTCTTTTGTAACACAGTTGTGCTAACCTTCTGTTGTCTTAATGGCTCGTTCCCCCCACGAGGTTTCCTCCCAAGGAAATTGGTTGTGACTTAATTAACAATTAACTCATGTTAATTTTCTAGGATTAAGAGGTGTCTCCATTTAAGATGTCTGCCTGACTTAATTAGTTTTTACTTATGCTAATTCCAAGGACTTTGAAGTTGGTCTCACACAAGACCCAATGATATGTCTTAAGTCAGAAGGATCTGACATCCTGTTTTAACATACCAGTTCCAATTAAAGTCTGACGTTTATTAAACCCAGGCATTTAGCCCTCCCACCAGACCTATAACAATAACCTTAATTAAATATAATGATTAGAATCTGTAAGTGAAAATAGTTCTAATACCTTGTTTCATTTTCAGAGAAGGCCCCCACCCCCTGTTCCCCAGGAAGAAGAGGAGGAAGAGGAAGAAATAGTAGTAGCCATGTATGACTTTCAGCCCACGGAACCTCATGACTTGAGACTGGAAAGAGGTCAAGAATATACTATCCTTGAAAAAAATGACATTCACTGGTGGAAAGCAAGAGATAAATATGGGTAAGGAATCTTAAAAAGCAGAGACATCACCTTGCCAACAAAGGTCCATATAGTTAAAGCTATGGTTTTCCCAGTAGTGATGTATGGAAGTGAGAGCTGGACCATAAAAAAGGCTGATCACCGAAGAATTGATGCTTTTGAATTATGGTGCTGGAGGAGACTCTTGAGAGTCCCATGGACTGCAAGAAGATCAAACCTATCCATTCTTAAGGAAATCAGCCCTGGGTGCTCACTGGAAGGACAGATCCTGAAGCAGAGGCTCCAATACTTTGGCCACCTCATGAGAAGAGAAGACTCCCTGGAAAAGACCCTGATGTTGGGAAAGATGGAGGGCACAAGGAGAAGGGGACGACAGAGGACGAGATGGTTGGACAGTGTTCTCGAAGCTACCAGCATGAGTTTGACCAAACTGCTGGAGGCAGTGGAAGACAGGAGTGCCTGACATGCTCTGGTCCATGGGGTTATGAAGAGTCGGACATGACTAAACAACAACAAAGGAATCTGACCATTATTTCAGCTTTTTAATACTGCCAGAAATGGATGGTACAACGATTCCAATAGATGTAACTGCATTATGATGGCCATTACTAACATTTTAATTGTTGGTGAATGGGTGTCCAACCTTTTTTTCGCTCAAGAGCCAGCACCCCTCCAAAGGTTGTGTGCCAGCATGCCTGGGTACACATTTGCATGCATGCATTCCAGGAACTTGCCTGAAGGCAGCCACCACCTAAGAATGGATTCATGTTTGCTGATGCGCTGGCACAAAGAAGACTTCTATCACATCATGCAGAAGGGAGCTTCCTTCACCCCACACCTTGCTTGCAATACACATGCGAAAGAGAGGGAAGATCTTCTGCTCTTCTTCCTGTAGTTTCCCTTCAATGGCTGATAAAGTGATAATGATCTATAACTGCTGTTCTCACCACTTTGGCTGCTCTCTAGAATGATAGTTAGAGATTGTATATCTTCGTAAGGCATTGGCCTGAAGCTTCTGGAAGCACAGAAACTTTTTAAAACAAACAAACAAACAAACTATAATTTTTTAATAAACAACTATGGCACAAATAGGGACGCGGGTGGCGCTGTGGATTAAACCACAGAGCCTAGGACTTGCCGATCAGAAGGTCGGCAGTTCGAATCCCCGTGACGGGGTGAGCTCCCATTGCTCGGTTCCAGCTCCTGCCAACCTAGCAGTTTGAAAGCACGTCAAAGAGCAAGTAGATAAATAGGTACCGCTCTGGCGGGAAGGTAAACGGTGTTTCTGTGCGCTGCTCTGGTTCACCAGAAGCGGCTTAGTCATGCTGGCCACATGACCCGGAAGCTGTACACCGGCTCCCTCGGCCAATTAAGCGAGATGAGCACCGCAACCCCAGAGTCGATCACAACTGGACCTAATGGTCAGGGGTCCCTTCACCTTTACCTTTATGGCACAAATGTCAGGGAACGGCGTCTCCAGATACGACCAAAAAGGTCTCTGGAGGGAGGGGCGTATGTGTCCATGGTTTCCATTTATCTACTGCTTAATATTTTAAAATCTCCTAAGTGATGTAAAACATAAAAATAATACCACTAAAATAAAAATACAGCATAAAACAGTGAACAGTAGTAGAAAAGCAGGGATTCAGACACATAAAACAGAGTCTGATCGTATGGGTCAGGGAAATCCTGGAGAAAAAGAGATGTATTTCCAATATATCTGAAGCAACTTAACGGGCAGAGGGAAGGGCATTCCATAGTATAGGGGCAACAGCAGAAAATACCTGCTTTCAGGTCACTATCCTATCATATTCAGCAGGGTGTGGTACCACAAGTAGAATTTCCCCAGATGATTTAAGCATCTATAAAGGGACAGGTGGTCTTTCAGATGACTTAGTCCTGAGTTGTTTAGGGCTTTGTGTGCTAGCAACCAGACCTTGAGCATGTACCAGTTCCTTCAGCAAAAGTGTAATATGTGCAATAAGTGCTCCATTCAACATGCTGCCTTCTGTGTTTATCATGAAGATTAAATAGATGGATCCAGAATTTGATTGATGCACCTTCAACATGCTATAAAGAATATATTTTAAAAGATGCTGGGAATAAGAGTTCGCATTAATTTCTTGATTTATAATGAGAAAATGTTAGTAGCACTAATACGTATGTTGAAAGCAACCGTATATATATATATATATACACACACACACACACACATATATATATATATATATATATATATATAAAGGTAAAGGTACCCCTGCCCGTACGGGCCAGTCTTGGCAGACTCTAGGGTTGTGCGCTCATCTCACTCTATAGGCCGGGAGCCAGCGCTGTCCGCAGACACTTCCAGGTCACGTGGCCAGCGTGACAAGCTGCATCTGGCGAGCCAGCGCAGCACACGGAACGCCGTTTACCTTCCCGCTGGTAAGCGGTCCCTATTTATCTACTTGCACCCGGAGGTGCTTTCGAACTGCTAGGTTGGCAGGCGCTAGGACCGAATGACGGGAGTGCACCCCGCTGCGGGGATTCGAACCGCCGACCTTCTGATCGGCAAGTCCTAGGCGCTGAGGTTTTACCCACAGCGCCACCCGCGTATATATATATATATATATATATATATATTATCCTGTGCATTGCTTTGAATACCCTGTGTGGGCTAGATAGATGACTGTGGAATTTATAAATAAATGCAAGTTTGTTACTCTGACATTGTTATAATATGTGTTTTCTAAGCATGGGTTTCTTTTGGTCACTTCTAGAAGCAAAGGATATATTCCAAGCAACTATGTAACAGGAAAGAAGTCCAACAGTCTAGATCAATATGAGTAAGTAAATACTTGAATGTAGTACCCAGGAGCAAATTCTGTATGTATGTATTTTGGCAACTGAATAAAAATAATTGGCTGAATCAAGTGAGCTCTGACATACACTTCTACAGTATTCTTCATTCACCAGTTTGAGAGTAAGCTAACATTTAAAAAAGCACTCCTGACTGGTTCCAAAACTTCATAAAAGCTGTTGTTCTGTAAAACACCTACTGATACCTACCCTCTTTATTCACAGAAAATCAACACAGTAGAGCAGCTAAGGGCCACTTCACATTTTACATTAAGAAAAATTGATATATGCATATATGAGTACACACCACAAGGAAATAAAGCTAATTCAGAACTCCTTGTGACTTGTTACAGACATAACGCCGCTATTTTATTTACCATGATTAAGATATTAAAAGCAGTTCGTGGTTTGAGCTCCCCCTTCACACCGCTTCAGCACAAACATTCCCACACATTTTCCTTGTCTGTCTTAATCATGCTCCTTTATTAACTGAGAGAGAATCCGGTTAGCATCAATATTTTTTTAACAATGCAGATATTTAACACTAAACCATGGTAAACAGAAATGTGGTGTGTGTATTTCTGTATGCATTTATAGGGAATAAACACAGAAGAGAGAATAATGGCATTGGCGAAGGAGCTCATAACCTATTCCCAAATTCTTAAGCATGGTTAAGGGATCAGCAGGATGTCTGAACTGGATCTGTTCCATGTCACATCCAAAGTGAGCAGCCTAACATATTACAGCTTTTTATTTTCCCTCCTTTCTCTTTAGATGGTACTGTCGAAATCTAAACAGAAGCAAAGCTGAACAACTCCTAAGAAATGAAGTGAGCATTTGCTTTATAATGTTTCCAAGTACAACATAAAAACTTAAACCAACTTTATTTCATATGCTTGAATGAATCATAAATAATTCAAATAGGAAAAGCTTGATGAATGAAGTTTTCATTTTTTTTTATTGGATTTTAGGATAAAGAAGGTGGTTTCATGGTGAGGGACTCTAGTCAACCAGGGTTATATACAGTATCCCTTTATGCAAAATTTGGAGGGTAAGTTGCTCAATCCACAGATTATACCCCCCCTTGACGATTTCTTGCTTGTATGCATATAAACATCTGGCTTCCTCATTTAAGACAAATCACACATATTTTATCATCAAACCTTTTCTGTAGAAGTAAGCTGAAACGTGTGCCTCCACTCAATTATCCAAACAGGTCATTGCGTCAACTAAATTAGATCAAATGATGTCCTAGGATTGGTTTTATTATTCTAGCTAGTTGGAACTGGTCTCTTCTTTGGTAATGGAAGTTTAGAATAATTAAGAAGGTGGGAACAGTCTCTAAATTAATTTCTGATGGGCTATATGACCACCCGCATTAAAGTCAGAGCTTCTCTCGACTTCAGTCCAAAGTCTCACCCACATCTGTAAAGGCTGGCGTTTGCTGACCTCAGATTCCCATGAAACTGTGAGGCAGCCCCTCAGCCCCTCGCCTCCATTTTCACGAGGAACTCTCCTTGTTCACTTAAGCCTCAGAATGGATCCTGTGCATTGCCTTTGCACATACCAAGGATACACTTTATGTAAGTTGCTGTGGAACGCCCTCCCATCAGATGTCAAAGAGATAAATAACTACCTGACATTCAGAAGACATCTTAAGGCAGCCCTGTTCAGGGAAGTTTTTAACATGTAACGCTGTACTGTTTTTAACACTTGATTGGGAGCCGCCCAGAGTGGCTGGGGAAGCTCAGCCAGATGGGCGGGGTATAAATAATAAATTATTATTATTATTATTATTATTATAAACTATCATCGGGAATATATATATAGCTGTAAAGTTCACCAGAAATGTATTTGTTTGTTTTCTTTAATGTTGCTTTTTATTCTTCCTTCTCTCTCAATTTGAATTTTTAAAATGCTGGTATTACAAGCCTGGGGTAGACTAAATAACTTTACTAGCTTGTAGGGTTGGTCTCACACATGTGTGAGTGCTTGTGCTTAAGCTACCTGCCTACTTCTACTGTAGCTGCATTTTCACAATCGTTGTGAACAAAAGAGGCAAAGACTGTAATTGTTCTTTAGCAGCTCACTTCAGTTAACAGTTTCAGGGCAAAGTTTGTGCCTCAGTTACTCTACTGATTGAAAAACACTTGTAAATGTTTTAGTAAAATACTTTATTAGCAAAATACGTAACATAATTATGTCTAGAGTAAATGAAAAACCAAATTATTCTTATTGTTATTTTTAGAGAAGGGTTATCTGGAATAAGACACTACCATATAAAAGAAACGATGACATCACAAAAGCAGTACTACCTAGCTGAAAAACATTTATTTGACTCCATTCCTGAGCTAATTGAGTATCATAAACACAACGCTGCAGGTAAATGAGTCCAAGTTTTTTATCACTTGATTGAATGCTGCTTAACAATCTAGTTGCATAACTTCGGGAGACAAGTACATCTTCCTAGCTAGAGAGCCTGTTGCCCCCTGCATAGGTCTGCATTTTCAAGCTCTGTCTCCAAGCACGCCCCACCCCTGCCGCTTTCTGTAGGAAAACCCACTCTTTAATGCTAAATCGGAACAAATGGCAATTTGGGTTTTCCACGGATTGTTGTTTGCTCCAATTCAGCAGCAAAGAGTGGGTTTTCATGGAGAAAGTGCTGGGGAAAGTGTGAATGTGTGCCTAGAAATGCGATCCGAAAGGAAGTCCAGATGAACCCTGCGTACCCAAGTGGGGTTTTTGGATTTGTTTTACAGTAGTATTCCATGCTTTATCACGCCTTGCCCCTAAAACTCCCTTCAGTTTCAAAAAATAATTTGAAGTTCAGCATGGGCGTCGTTTGCTGCTCGAGAAACAAGTTAGATGTAGACTTTTAGTTTTTAAATAACAATTGGGGTGTTTTCCCTGGATACTGTACGTTTGGTATTTGCGCAAGAAAGCAAACTATTATTCTGTACCCCTCCTGTGCTCCCCCTCTTATTTGACTTTTTTTTAACCTTCGTGGTTCCAAATTATCCTTGTAATGTATTCTATACCCTTGAACATTTTTAACTGCAGGCTGCTCCTAATTTTTTAAGCTTCTGAGAACACTTATTTTATTATATCTTAACATATTTGACAGCAAAGTGAATGATTATTAATTAACAAAAATATGGCAACCCAATATCATGGTAAGCACTAATAATAGCAGGACTACATTACTACCCTTCCTAATTCCTGATATAGTCTCCATATGGATTTCCCCCAAACTTTCAGGTCTTGTTACAAGGTTACGATACCCAGTGACTCCAAAGGTGAAGCCTTCCCCAACTACGGCAGGATTCAGTTATGGTACGTTTACACACCTACATAACAAAATATTTATTTTGAAAGTGTGGGGATTCTGTAAATCAACAAAGAGGCAATTTTGTTTGAAATTGAGTATCTTCTTATGTTCTTGGTAACGGATAGTTCAACATCTGCAGTGCTGAGAAGCCTTATCAACTCTGTAAGCCTACGGTTGATGAAATAGACATGACAGTCATGTGATGGCCCTTACATGCTTGTTTTTAATTGACTAAATAACAGCCGTGGAATGGGGCAATCTGGATGAGGACCACTGCATGAAGGGTGGGGTTTTTTTAACTCTTTGCCCCTGCCATGGTCCTGATTTAGATCCTCACCTCCATGGTTGCTATTTGCCCCAGGGAAGTTGACATTGGCACTTGTAATGTTAGCCCAGAGCAACTAGCAGCCGCAGGAACAAAGAGTTAAAAGAGCCCCCTCCCTACAGCTCTTGGAAAAAAGCCTTCTAATAAAAGCAGAGACATCACCTTGCCAACAAAGGTCCGTATAGTTAAAGCTATGGTTTTCCCAGTAGTGGTGTATGGAAGCGAGAGCTGGACCATAAAGAAGGCTGATCGCCGAAGAATTGATGCTTTTGAATTATGGTGCTAGAGGAGACTCTTGAGTGTCCCATGGACTGCAAGAAGATCAAACCTATCCATTCTTAAGGAAATCAGTCCTGAGTGCTCACTGGAAGGGCAGATCATGAAGCTGAGGCTCCAATACTTTGGCCACCTCATGAGAAGAGAAGACTCCCTGGAAAAGACCCTGATGTTGGGAAAGATTGAGAGCACAAGGAGAAGGGGACGACAGAGGACGAGATGGTTGGACAGTGTTCTCGAAGCTACCAGCATGAGTTTGACCAAACTGCGGGAGGCAGTGGAAGACAGGAGTGCCTGGCGTGCTCTGATCCATGGGGTCACGAAGAGTCGGACACGACTAAACAACAAACAACAACAAAGAAGAAAACAAACACACAAGCACCAATCCTGTGATTGGGGTTGTGTCTCGTTTAGGCCTTAAAATAGCCTTTCCCAGGACAATATAGTAGGATCTACTCTTCCCCTACTCTATGATTATTATGATAGGTTAGGTCCAACAGTAATTCATATGAAATATAATAGAGTGTAACTAGACTAAGGGGGAAAGGAGAAATATTGGCACTAGACTGAAAGATGCTGGAACAAGAATTAATCACCATGTTAACGACAGATGGGATGTGGAGTAATGTCTTAAATTACAAAAGCATAGTCTAACACATTAGGGGTTGAAGCTTTCTTGAGAAGTGACACAAGCGGCCCAGAGAAGTACTAGATCGCAGTGCTTATATTTTAGCAAACAAAGGCTGGGTTGGCTTCTGTCAAGTGTGAGAAGCATGAGAGATGTTGCTTCAGAAGGGGCAGGTGGATTAAAGTACTCAATCTACATTTTGTTGGTTTGGGTCTATCCACACCTTCTTCTAGTCACACTCCGGGTTTTCTCTTGATTGATGTTTGCTCTGATTTAGAACTGAATACAGTGGTACCTTGGGTTACATACGCTTCAGGTTACATACGCTTCAGGTTACATACGCTTCAGGTTACATACGCTTCAGGTTACATATGGTTCAGGTTACAAACTTCGCTAACCCAGAAATACCTGGGGTTAAGAACTTTGCTTCAGGATGAGAACAGAAATTGTGCTCCGGCGGCACGGCGGCAGCGGGAAGCCCCATTAGCTAAAGTGGTGCTTCAGGTTAAGAACAGTTTCAGGTTAAGAACGGACCTCTGGAACGAATTAAGTACTTAACCCGAGGTACCACTGTAGTGGGTTTTCCATGGGAAAAGGAGCAGGGACAAGAGGGGATACCACTTGGATCCCTGCCTAGAAAGCGTCAGTCAAGCAGAAAACTGCCTTGATGAGCCCTCAATAAAATGTCTCCTGTGAAAGATTTGTCTGTATCAGAAAGTTGGGAGCTTAGGTATAAAAAGTTTTAGATTTTTTTAATAAACAAAACAAAACTACAAGAACCTGTTGAGTGGAGAGGATTCCTGAAGATCCAGTTGCTGTGGAGTCATCTTCTTTGAGAAAGATGTCCCAACTATCCATTTTTTAAGGAAGGCTTTGAGAATGAGAAGTGGGGATCCTGCAGCGAGTGCCAAAGTTCTCTGGTTGTGGGAAAGGATGGATAATGGTTTTGGCTGGGTCCCTTTCAGAAAAAGAAAAAGGGAACCAGGGGGGGCATAAGCATTGTCTTCCTCTGAACACCTTCGTTTTATTTTCCTCCCTTGTAGAGAAATGGGAGATCAATCCTGCCGAGCTCACCTTCATGAGAGAGTTGGGCAGTGGCCTTTTTGGCGTGGTGCGCCTTGGAAAATGGAGAGCGCAATATAAAGTGGCCATCAAAGCAATCCGAGAAGGTGCAATGTACGAAGAGGACTTCATAGAAGAAGCTAAAGTGATGATGTAAGTAACGTGTACAGGTGCTAGGCTTTGCTTTTAAAACCCAAAAGAGCCCGGTCCTTATGTATCTTCTCCCTAGGGTATTTGCATGCAGCTTTCTTTATTTAAAGGGACGCTGGTGGTGCTGTGGGTTAAACCACAGAGCCTAGGACTTGCCGATCAGAAGGTCAGTGGTTCGAATCCCTGCAACGGGGTGAGCTCCCATTGCTCGGTCCCTGCTCCTGCCAACCTAGCAGTTCAAAAGCATGTCAAAGTGCAAGTAGATAAATAGGTATCGCTCCGGCGGGAAGGTAAACGGCGTTTCCGTGCGTTGCTCTGGTTCGCCAGAAGCAGCTTAGTCATGCTGGCCACATGACCCAGAAGCTGTACGCCGGCTCCCTTGGCCAATAAAGCAAGATGAGCGCCACAACCCCAGAGTCGGCCACGACTGGACCTAATGGTCAGGTGTGCCTTTACCTTATTTATTTATTTAAAGTACAGTGGTACCTCGGGTTACAGATGCTTCAGGTTACAGACTCCGCTAACCCAGAAATATTACCTCGGGTTAAGAACTTTGCTTCAGGATGAGAACAGAAATTGTGCTCTGACGGCGCAGCGGCAGCAGGAGGCCCCATTAGCTAAAGTGGTGCTTCAGGTTAAGAACAGTTTCAGGTTAAGAACGGGCCTCCGGAACGAATTAAGTACTTAACCCGAGGTACCACTGTATTTTTATTCCACCCTTTGGCTGAAAAAGCTCTCGGAGTATATTTGGTGTTTTGTTGGAGGGGATGCCAGGGAACAGGGAATTATGTTCACATGTGGTGGGGGTTTAAATGTGTACAATTTTTCTGGCAAAGAGTCTTTAAGGAGATAACAGAAATCACTGGGTTAGAGCTGACTGAACGTCCAGAGGTAGCATTATTATCAATTTACGATGGAGTGGAAGGTTTGCAGGCTATGAAGGACTTGTTCACAAAATTATTGACAGCTGCACGCATTATTATAGCTGGGAAGAGGAAGGGGCAGGCAGAATATAAAATAGAAGAATGGTATAAAGAGGTGTGGGGTATAGCTATTAATGATAAATTAACTTGTGCCATTAAGGTAAGATGGGGACTAAGCAGGAGAAATTATTTTGAGGAGATATGGAGGGTGTTTGTAGAATTTGTTCTGTTAAAATGGAAAGGGGTCAAACCATCGCAAGAGGTGTTGAAATTGGAAGCTTGGATAGTTACAATAGAATGGTCTTGGTGGTGGGGTGCACATTTTTATTCTTATTTATTTATGATTATTACTTTGTCAAAATAAATAAAATAATTAAAAAATAATTAAAAAAAGAAAAGACTCTCATAGTGTCCCACAAATATGAGGAGTCAAACCCTCAGCTCAGTCTTTTAGACATGATGTGCACGAAAAAGCGAATGGAGGGAGTAGGAAAAAACTAACTCAGACACAATTCTTAAAAGTCATAGTGATAAGTCTTATAAATGACCAGCTGGGATAGAAATAGTTCGGGCAGCTTTAGGGAATGGCCAAAGACAGCTGGTCGCTCAGCAGAGGCGATTAAATATATGGATTTTAATTCCTTTCAGGAAGTTGACGCATCCAAAATTAGTCCAGCTGTATGGTGTCTGCACCCAGCAGAGACCTATTTACATAGTGACAGAGTTCATGGAGCACGGCTGCCTTCTGAATTACCTTCGGCAAAGACGTGGACACTTTACAAAAGACCATCTGCTGACAATGTGCCAGGATGTTTGTGAAGGGATGGAGTACCTGGAGAGAAACAGCTTTATTCACAGAGATCTGGTAAATAATATACTGAAGAGTCTATATATTTTGCTTCGTGTAGAAAACGTAATTATTAAAGAAACTGTTCAAAATGCCACTGTTTTTGGTGGTTTATAAATATTGTCTTACTCAGTTGGGGTGACCAAAGGGAAAGGAAAGCAAGATTCTTATCCCTTAACATATGCCAGAGGTTTTCAACCTTTTTGAGTCCACGGCTCCCTTAACCAACTACATTCTTTCTTCGGCACCCCTGTGGGGCTCAGGAGCCCAGTTATATCACCCCTTGCCTGCAGAGCTGGCAGCCTCTCACCCTTTTTTGAACACCTTCCCTTGTGGAGTGTTCCCTCAGCCTCTCCCCTCTCCTTGGGAGTCCTCCAGGGAGCCACTGTTGCCATCCCTGGTCTCTGAGCTGCCCCCCCTCGCCCCAAAGAGAGGGGCCTCCCAGAGGCACAATTCATCTGCAGAGCTTATAACCAGGACTGCTGCAATAAACAGGTGCGCAAGCCTTGGGGAGGCAGAGACACAAGAGGGCATCAGAAGAGGGAGGGAAAGAAAGAGGAACAGAGGCCAGTGTTGCCCGCAGCACCCTTGACCATCATTCAAGGCACCCCAGGGTGCCATAGCACACTGGTTAGAAACCACTGGCATATCCTTTACCCTGCATGATGAGTTGCACTTGCCAAAATTCTCACTTTGGCATCTCTGCTAGTATCCTGGTTTTCTTTGCATTTGGTTACCCCATGCCTGCATAGGCTACAGGATACAGTCACTAATGATTTAAGAGTCCCTGGTACATCTGATATTGTTTGTCTTCATCATTAAGTATTGCTTTCTGTTGGAATAGTAGCCAAACTCCTGCTCAGGAGTCGTGCATGGCACTTAAGATCTTTGGACAAGGGCCAGGATACAAATGTAACTAATAAATATGTTATTTTGACTCTCAGATCATTAGGGAACAGATAGCCTTTTCTTTTTCTTATGCTTTCATACGGAAACTTCAAGAGATTTTCAGACCGGGGACTGGAGATTTCAGACAGGTGTATCCCCATGTGAGAATGAGGCACCAAAGCTACCTACCATTTTTAGCCACCCCAAATATCAGTTTGTGATGTTCAAGTTGGCTTAAGTATTTTATGGAAGCCACTTCAGTACTAGCTGAACTTGGGATCTGGCCAACGAGAGCTTATTGTGCAATAAATTTGTTAAGGTCTACAATCCCTATTTGTAATCTTTGCTATAGCTCCTGTCCCTTGAAAATACGCCTGCCTCTCATTCTGCTGCCCTCAATGGCATCCAAAATATGCCTCCACCTGAGGCAGCCACTTGAGGTGTGCTACATGCGGGTGGCGCTGTGGGTTAAACCACAGAGCCTAGAAGGTCGGCGGTTCGAATCCCCGCGTTGTTCGGTCCCAGCTCCTGCCCATCTAGCAGTTCAAAAGCATGTCAAAGTGCAAGTAGATAAATAGGTACCGCTCCAGCAGGAAGGTAAACGGCGTTTCCGTGCGCTGCTCTGGTTCGCCAGAAGTGGCTTAGTCATTCTGGCCATATGACCGGAAGCTGTCTGCGGACAAACGCCAGCTCCCTCGGCCTATAGAGCGAGATGAGCGTGCAACCCCAGAGTCGTCCGCGACTGGACCTAATGGTCAGGGGTGCCTTTACCTTTAGGGTTGCCTCTGCACAGTTGCAGTTTTCAAAATTTAAGCATAGCACATTCTTATCTGGCTGTATCGTCACTGTAAATAATAACATGCCTGTGTTTTCCCTCAGGCTGCTAGAAACTGCTTAGTGAATGAATCAGGGGTGGTGAAAGTGTCTGACTTCGGAATGACAAGGTACTGGACCCTGGAATTTAAGTGGATGCATTTTGCATGGGCAAGTGTGAAAATTACAAGGGGACTGGAATTTGTACCTAGACTGAGGCTGCATAAGCCAAATGCAGCTTTGAAAGGGACTTCTGGGGCGGGGGGGGGATCAGATGATGTCATTGTGATTGGTGGATTCAGAAGTCTTTCCACTCATAGATGGAGTCCTGCAGCAGCTGCATACCTGAAACTGCAAAAAAATACCCCAAAGAGTTGCGGTTGTCAAATTCCTGACAGCTCCTAATACATGTGACCAATAAATGCGGGTACAAGTACAGATTACAAGTTGTTGCAGGTTTAAATATTAGTTCCATAGTTAATACTTTCAAATGATGTTTGTGAAGTTTACAAGTAGCCACTAGATGGAGGTGTGAACACTTACTTCTTGATGGGCTTCTAGGGCTGGTTTCAGACTGGAGGAATCATATAGCGTTTTCCTTTTTTAGGTATGTGCTTGATGACCAGTACACAAGCTCTTCAGGTGCTAAGTTTCCTGTGAAGTGGTGCCCCCCAGAGGTTTTCAATTATAGCAGGTTCAGCAGCAAGTCAGATGTCTGGTCTTTTGGTAAGGTGGCTATGTTTTTATTCCATTTTAAATGTGGAGGTATTATTACTATTGGCTACAAACCGCCCACATAATTTGTATTTACTCTTTAGAACTGGGGTGGAGAACACTTTGGCTAGTGGGCCAGATTCTTATCTCACCTACCCCTTGTGGACCAGGTTTGACAGGTGGGCAGAACCGGCCATTTCTCAATCACCTGACATTTTTTACCTTCAAGGGTCTCAGCCCCTTTCAAAGCACTCTTTGAGAGGGGTTTCTGAAGATCTGATAAGCTGAAGCATCATGTGAGAGTCATGGTTGCATGAATAGGCCATCAAACCTTCTCTTAGATGTTACACATAATTTATCTCTTCAGTCCAACTAATTTTTCTCCATATGGCTTATTCTCATTCTTACTGTTCCAGTGTCAGTTCTAAATTATCTTAGAAGACTTGGGACCAGCAGGCATAAAAGACAATAAGTACCTTGCTAGGAATTGTTTCCTATTAACATATTTGCCACTACAGATACATGCATGTTCTAGTTTAGATAACATCTCTCTGGTAATCAGCCAACGATCTTTTTGTGTCTCTTAATTTTTCAGGTGTTCTCATGTGGGAAGTATTTACCGAAGGGAAAATGCCCTTTGAGACAAACACGAACTATGAAGTAGTGACTATGGTTAGCCAAGGACACCGTCTATTTCGGCCAAAGTTAGCATCTAAGAATATTTACGATGTGATGTTGTTGTGCTGGCATGAGGTACAGTACCTTATATTTTAGTTGTACATCTCCATGTGATCCCTGATATACAATATTTGTTGTTTAGTCGTTTAGTCATGTCCGACTCTTCGTGACCCCATGGACCAGAGCATGCCAGGCACTCCTGTCTTCCACTGCCTCCTGCAGTTTGGTCAAACTCATGCTGGTAGCTCGTCCTCTGTCGTCCCCTTCTCCTTGTGCCCTCCATCTTTCCCAACCTCAGGGTCTTTTCCAGGGAGTCTTGTCTTCTCATGAGGTGGCCAAAGTATTGGAGCCTCAGCTTCAGGATCTGTCCTTCTAGTGAGCACTCAGGGCTGATTTCCTTAAGAATGGATAGGTTTGATCTTCTTGCAGTCCATGGGACTCTCAAGAGTCTCCTCCAACACCATAATTCAAAAGCATCAATTCTTTGGCAATCAGCCTTCTTTATGATCCAGCTCTCACTTCCATACATCACTACTGGGATAACCATAGCTTTAACTATACGGACCTTTGTTGGCAAGGTAATGTCTCTGCTTTTTAAGATGCTGTCTAGGATATACAATATAGGAATGCTTTATACTTAACTATGAAGACACAGAACAATCAAGGCTAAAGAACAAAGCAAGAAAAGAAGGCAGGATAGCTCAGTTGGTAAAAGCATGAGACTCTTAATCTCAGGGTCGTGGGTTTGAGCCCCACATTGGGTAAAAAGATTCCTGCATTGCTGGGGGTTGGACTAGATGACCCTCGGGATCCCTTCCAACTCCAAAATCTAGATTCTATATAATTTAAAAGGAGAAATCTAGTACAGACCTAGGGTTTGTGTACACTGGAGCAAACTGGATTTGCACCGACTTGTCTCCCGATTAATGTAGGGGCATCCCGTGGTTTTCCCAGACCTTCCCCTCTTTAAATGCTATTTTCCCCCAATCATTGGAAAGTCCAAAGGGGCCAGGATCAAAGAACCCTGCATTTACAGGGGGAAAGGTAAAACAGTGAAACAGGGAGGGCATCATGCTCCAGTGTGGGCAAGCCTTTTGAGTGGAATTTGCATGGTTCCTGAATTGTAAGAATGAGCAATCCCTACTTGATGGAATCACTTTGGAGGCACAGGTGAGAGATGCCATCAAAAAATAGAAAGGGAGAAGTAATTAGAGAACCCGTGACACCAAGAAGTGACTGGCCTTGTTATAGGACATTGCACCTTCAATTTTTTTGGGGGGGGGAATTAAGTAGAATTGCTTACATCAGATACATGCAAAAGATTTCCCTCTAACAAAATAAAACCTTTATCGTTGTTAGTTCTAAAAAATAAAAATCCCCATACTTTTTACCCATTTATTTCCCCTCTGTAACTCGGGTTGGGCTGAAGGTCTCTAATGTTATTTTGAAAATATTTATTTTATTCATTTGCTATTGTCCCCCCCCCCAATTATTTGTGATCATCTGAGCAGTACACCAGGTGAATTAATGGAAAGGTGGCAGCGGTGGAGCAATCCTCTCTACTACTGAATTATTAGCTTTTACCTGCTTTTTTTGTGTGTGTTAATAAAGATATTGTTTTAATCAGAATCGACAGCTCACAATAATGCTATCTATTAATTTCTAGAAACCGGAGGGACGCCCTACATTTCAGGATTTGCTGCAGATGATTGATACGATAGCAGAGGATGCTTCCTGAAAAGGCATGAGAGGAACCAAGTTGTTCACAGCAGAGACAGCATTCTGAAAAGCCACGCTCCTGGATGTTGCTTCAAAGGGCCACACACAGAGAGAGAACAACAACGCAGAGTTTCCTTCTCCTTAAGAGGAAGTGTTTTACCAAGATAGCCATAGTTTTCTCAGCCATTTAAACAGTCTGTGAAGTAGACACTGATGAGGTGGAAAACATGGTTCTTGGCTGGGGGAAGAAACAGGATGGAACCACACTTTGAGCCCTAAATTGCAGAGCAGTAACTGGATTTTATAAAAGTCTCTTCCCACTTCTATCAACCAAATGTTGAGGAGTGGCAAGGACTAGATTCTTCAGCAGCAATGTTTCCAAGGCTTTCCTGAAAATGCAGTGTAACATTGGCTCACCAAAGCTCTAAATATTGCCTTTCGCTCATGATCTTGCAGTGCTCTTTTGTTTTGCTTCCTTTAATAGTTGGCACTGCAGCACCTCTCAGCTGTGCCACCTCAAATGAAGGGCCGTGTTCTTTTAATCTTTTCACCTGGACTTTTTCTACAGAATAACTGTAGAGGCAGACCAGAAGCTAGTCCTACAACTACTGCTACTCTGTGCATTGTAGCACTTAGCAGATACAGAAGTGGTGACTGGATAGTGCGCTATATTAGCAGAGGCTGGATTCCAAATCCCTCTTCACCAATTAAACCCTTATGGGGATTGTGGACCAACTGCTATCTTTCAACCTAACCTACCTCACAGGGTTGTTGAGAGGCCAAAGGGAGAGAGGACAAGAGATTCTCTTGAGTTTCTTAGAGGAAGGGTGGGATAAAAAAATGTAGAAGTTCTAGTGGATGACAAGCTGCTGCAATTCACCCTGAGCCTATGGATTAGGAAAATGTATTAAATGAAGAAGAAAACCTGCTTAGGGGGGACTTTGACACAGCATTCATATATATATATATATATATATATATTCACATCCTGTAAATATATACACTGCGCACATGTATTTATTGTAAATATATACACTGCACACATGTATTTATATGATTGGGACTTTAGGTTTTCTTGAAGGATTTGAAAAGTACTTGTTGAATCCTTTTTATGTTGCTCATGTAGCTGAACACATCGCCAAGAGCTGAAAGAGTAAAGTTTCAGCGTTATTATAAACTGAAGAGTTATTAGTCAGTGTGCTGCAGTTGATAAAATGCTCTTCGCAATCCTCATAAAATACTGTACCAAAAATGTGTCTAATAAATAATATGCATATTGTTTGAAATCTTGATAAAGGCTGTGCCACTGATTTTTATTTCCAGACTTGTCTGGAATTAATTTTAACACTTTCGCATTAGGATTCCCCCAAGATGTTTCGCTGCTCTGGTCTTCTGTGCTACACAGTGTGACATTACAAGGAACATTCAAGTCTTCTGCAACTTTCTACCTCTTGGATCATGTGCTGCCTTACTAGACACCCTTAGATGCAGGAGAGAAACTATTAACTCAAAAAGGTAGGCCTCCTGACAGATTACATCAAATTATGACTCCTTGTAACCATGAGCTCCATATTAGCCAAATTATATCCCCAAGGATAGCAGAATTACCAGCATGAATTCAAGCAGATGACATTAGAATACTTGCTATTTTACATAATACAGTGGTACCTTGGTTTTTGAGTGTCTCAGAAGCCAAACGTTTCGGAACCCGGAAGTGAATGCTTCCATTTTCGAACGTGCCTCGGAAGTCGAACGGCTTCTGAGGCACATTCCTCAATTTTCTCAATTGAATTTGCCGACTGCTCACTGTGCTTCGGTTGTCGAATGTTTTGGAAGTCAAACGTTCTTACAGAACAGATTACGTTCAACAACAGAGGTACCGCTGTATTACCTTAGAAAAATTCTAGTCATAGGAAGAGGTGAGACATTTTTTTCAGCTACCTTGCTGGCTTCTGAAATCTGTGTCCACGCAAACTTTCAAGTGTATCTCTAGCACAGCTAGAAAGCAGCTGCTATTAAAATATATATTTTCAAGAAGCTGAATGCTATCCACTACCAACTTTTTCCAAAACTTGCAGCATAGGGTTTGTCCCAACTTCTGCTTGTCCCATGCATAGAAAGCATGGGTCTGAGAGGTTTTCTGCTTGTCTTATGCTTTCTAGGCACAGATGAAGGAAGCTTTGCTTTTGCCCTGCCCTTCCCCCCCGGAAAACCCACTTTTAAGCACTAAATCAGAACAATTGGCAGTTCACGCAAAACCCAATTGCTGTTTTCCGATTCAGCACTAAACCATGCAAAAGCTCTCTTCATAAGAGTGATATCACGGCAGCAAAATGGTTTTTTATGTACTCTCCACGTTAACTCGCGAAAAAGAGAATTGCCAAGGTAAGCCTTCTCCAAATTTTCTCAGTTCAGGTTTTCGTACACAAGGAAAGGCTACTTTAGTGTTGTATGAAAAATATTCCCGTATCTGTTTATTTGCTTCATTCAAAAACAACTATGCCAGGTCATATGGAACCAGACCTCCCACCTCTCTGCTCATCAATCCCATTGCTAAAAGTTCCTACAGGAACCAACATAAATTCCCCAAAACACTTCTCTCTCTCATTAAAAAGAAGAAGTGGGCACAAACACATTTTATTGAAACAATATAATCCCCTCCCTTGTTTGGACATCATAGTATCAAACTTAAAATCTTTATATCAGAAAGTTAACATCTTAAAAGTAAGTTTTATTCAAATGTATCAAGTCAAAATTTTTGTACACACACAAAAAATCCTGAATGACATTAAAGACTTCCCTGCACATAAAAGTATGCTTCTCTGATAAACATTTTAAAATACAATGTTTGCTCATTTCAAAAAGGAGGTTAACACTGGGTAAATAAGAGTGTGAACGAATAAGGTATTTCCTCTGATTTTTTAAAAAAATTTTTTATTAAGTAATAAAAAAAAATTATAACATGGACAAATGCCATACCTTACAAAAATAAATAAATTTTAATCTACAGCATCTACTCTGCATGTAAAGGACTCATTTTCAGATAACTTACGTTATCTTTAGTCACCTTTAGTTGGCACATTTTGTAGAAAATGATCATACATATTACGAAAAAATGGAATTAGTGCTCAAGTAGGAATGTAGCCTGAGGTTTTTCCTGAAACTACTAAAAAAGGTTATCTTGTCTGTTCTCCAGTAATGTGTAATTGATTCCCCATCTCTCTTACTGCCTCCTTCATGTGCAAACAAATTCAAGCTTTGAAGATGTCGGTAAGTGAAAATATGCTTCTATACCAGTTCATTCAGTGCTATGCTAACTGGCATATGAGAGACCTCTTTCATCAACATACAAGAATTTTGAAAACTAGATACTTTTTCCACCCCTTTTGGACATATGCTGAAAAACTCTGAATCATAAACATCCACTATGCTTAGGCGACAACATTCGGGGAAGTCATGATTTTTACACACAGCAGCAACTTGGCCAAGAAAACCACTATTTCCCCCCAATGCAATGAAACCATAAAGTGCTATCTGTGAAAATATGTTATGTATACAATTCAGTTCTCTTTACCAAGAGCACCACAATTGTCACTGAAGTTCGTATGCTGCCAAAGATGGGAAGTGCACACACACAAAATCATTGTTTCCTTTTCTGATCATTGAGGACACCATCGCAACCACTTTCTGTCCTTCTGAGTACCACTCAGAAGTGTTGTGGTATAGGTTTTCCAAAGATGACTTAGTGGTGGCCACCCCTTTGTTCATTTCCTCGACTGAACAGAGTGTTATCCTCATCACATGTCAAGGCTGGAGCCTCCATATTCTCCAATAAAGTATGATGAGCCTCGTAACCATGGAGAGGCAAGATTGGCTCCTTTTTAACAGAAGATGTCAACTGGCTCCAGGTGGTGCTGACGTTTTTAAAAGCATGCAGGAAGAAGATGCCTATAATTATGGTGAAGAAGCCACTCAAGGTCCCAATGATATCGCCAAGCTCCATGCTATTCCATTCCTTGAAGAGGATGACAGAGCAGATCACCACCATGGTTGTGAAGCACACATAATAAATGGGTGTCACTAGAGATGTATGAAACACATCCAGTGATTTATTGAGGTAGTTAATCTGAGTACTGATAGACACCACCAAAACAGCTGCCAAAATATAAACCAATGGATGTCGGAAGACGGGCTTCTGATAAAGCATGTCTTTAATAGCAATGCCCAGACCCTTGACAGAGGAGACTGAGAACACACCAATCACTGAACAAATGGAAATGTACACCAGTATATTGCTCTGGCCAAGTCTTGGAGCAACACCAAAAATGAGGACCAGCGAGATCACAATTACGATAGTGGCAAATGCAACAAACACTGTTTGAGAGAAAGAGAAAGGAATATAAGTAATGTGTGTGAAGAAGCAATTAATAAAATCACAATCAGGTCACTTCAGCGGGCTGGATCCAGATACCCATGAGCTCACACAATATTCCTATTCTTGGTGAGGGGGTTGGGAGGGCCATTTCTGCTTATTCCCCCAGCAGCTCTCAAAAATCTGCTCCATAACATTTTCAAACAACATGGAAAGCAATGTTGATGGAACTTCATCACTTCCTCCTCCTCCTCCTCTTCCACGAGTGATTCATTTTAGCTCTGGATTCAAGCCAGCATGAAAATCACAAATTAAAGACAGCATAGCTCTTCCCGCTTTGGTGTGGAAATGTAGTTCCATGTATACATTAAAAACCTCTCCATTATCCTCTGAAGACCAAAGAAAGGGCTTTTGTGTACAGAGGAGTGCAAACTTAACACTCCTGCAGTGGGAGTTGTATGCACTCATCGGGCTCTAGATCAGAGGGAAATATATTTCACCTTCCAAGACTCTATGGAACTCTGCTTTGCTTTTGTAAAAAACTAAATTCAGTTCTGCATGCAGGGCTATTGCAGGAGAAGCCAGCTTTCTCAAAGCGGCTCCACTCTGCATTCTATACAATTGTACATTAAGAAGAAAGCTGATGGCCATTTTCCTGTGCTCCAACTGGATTCCAGTACTCTACAGCAGACTGGATGCTCTGGCTCCCCAACCCCTATGGGCCATTTTGTCAGGTGGGGACAGTCACCCACCTATCATCACCATGAAGTCAGATGAAGCATTTTTGTTTGCCCGCGCAGGCAAAGACATAGAGCTTTGCAAGTGTCAACGATCAGCTGACAGGCAGTGGCAGCAAACACCACTTCTGGCAGAGAGCCATGTCTTTACCTGCGACATGACGTCAAAGGTAGGTCTGGCTGATGTGGCCCCACAGGTCCAGTGGCTGGAGGTTCCTATCTGCTGTTCTATGCAAACAGCAAATGCACAATGGATCAAAGTTTCTCAGCCAAGGGAAGTTCAAGAGAAAGCTCAGCAGCCAGGAATGCACTTTGAATCCAACAATTCAGGGTCCAAAAGAACCTTAGGCATGATGAGGGCTGGGAAAGCACTCTGGAGGAGCCACAATAAACAGTACAGGGTTTAATGGGCCAAATTGCTTTGGTATAAGGGTACTTCGCATGTCCAACATTGCCTCAGAACCAAGAGAAAGCCACTGTGTGCCTCCACCCCTCAATTCCTTCAGAGCCAAAGTGCAAGGATATTTGCTCAAGCAATTAAACAGGCAGAGTACACAGTAATGTCAAGCTTGACTGCCTAACAAAATTAGTTTCCTGATCTCTGCAAAGCTACACACCCCTGCACCTGTCTGCATGGCAGAAGAGATTATGGGTCCCACCCAATGTTTACTTTCCCCTGCTTTTATTGTTTGGTACTAGCAGCAGAGAGGGTGAAAGGACAATGTCAAATGATACCAGTGTCTGATCTGAACATTCACAGATCACAACTGCAAAGAGCCTGGGAGCAGTGGGGAAACAGGATGCATCCACCTAGTGGGGTTGCCAGTCTAGCATCCAGGCCTATCTAACATACTATATTGGATGTAACGTGGCAATGGGGGTCTATGCATTGTAGAGTACAATATGCACAGTCCACAACCCATCAACCCTATGAATGAGCAGGTTCTGCAGTAAAGCAGAAACTCCAACAAGGTAAGCTTTGCATTTACTTGTCCCAAGCCAATCATCTAAATGACATACCTGGGTCTTTTAGCTTTATCTCCATTTCATCCAATGATGTAACCTGTTCCTCTTCAGGTGCATGAATCACCATCACAGTGGACCCCAAAATGCTCAATACACAGCCCAGCTTCCCATGAATATTGAGCTCTTCATTCAAAAAATAGGAAGATAATATGGCGCTATTTGGATTTAAACGAAAAGAACACCACCTTAAATATAGCATGTAACAATATCTAGAAGGTCGAAACTATAAATATGACACATCGAAAAACTGAAGTTCAACCACAATGAAAAAGAACAAAGGAAAATACAATGCATATTTGCAAAGGAAGACAAGGCTAGTTCGTGTACATATCTGTGGCACCACACCCTAAAGAATATTGCAGGGCAGTGACCTGAAAATTTACTGCTCTTGCCGATTCTGTGGAATGCCATTCCCTCTGCCATATATGAGCAAGCAACCATCAGCTGCACCCAATGTCTTATAAAGACTTATCTTTTCCCCCACTTTCCCTGACCCATAAGAATGGGCTCTGCTTTATATTTATGAATCCCTTCAATCTATGTTCCTTTCCGTTTAAAGAAAGGGGGGAGACTATACAAAGGATGTGTCTTTTCATGCCTGCATCACATGCACCTATTCCACAACACAGAAAGTGTTAGACAGGTGCAGGTGTACACTAGCTCTCCTAAAAGACAAGTCATCGTCTCAGCTTGATAAGCACCATAAATTGTTCATCGACTCACTGTTTCCGAAGCACAGCATTTCAAATATCACCTAGTGAAATCAAAAGCTTGATGCCACTGGGCTTAATGTGGAATTTAATGCCATATGTGGTAAAATATCACATTACGAAGAAAGGCACTTGGTTCTGCAGAAAACATGAGGTTATTTCCATTTGTTTCAGCTGATTTTTAAGCAGTTGGCAATATGCTCTTCTCAGAAGAAATATTGTGTATTTTACGTATGAAATTTAAAAAGGAAGCTGCTCTGTATCAGATTCAGACTGTAAAACCACTGCCACCACTTAGGCCTTCCCCAGATGGACACCTGTGGACCAATTAAACCATTGGAGTCGCCTGGCACTTGCCAATGTAGTTTTTATGCTAGGCAAAAGCCTTTTTAAAAAATTGTTACAATTTAATATTTTCATCATGCTGCTTTTAGTATGTTAGCTGTACACTTATAACCATTCTCTTTTCTATTTCGAAAGACTGCCTAAATAGACTTCTGCTCTGGTTCAGAGAGGCCGCTCTTATTTTTTGTTGCTTCTGGGGCAAGGCGCCCCAAGAACTTGTCTGAAGGACGTGGTAGAAATATCCACAATAAAACAAGAGTGTAAGAGCTGGCAACTTGCTAACTTGCTTTCGGCCCAGTCAAATGACAGATTTCAGAGTGCTTAATAGAGTGTACTGGATGTTGCTATGAGGAAAATAAATTTGTACTGACCTTATGAGAACACTCAGTGCACCCAAAGGGGTGACCAAAGTGGCTGGTGCAAAGGCATAGGCGGCAAAGTTTGCTGCTTCCCCTATTCCCACTGCAAAAGAAACTGTTGTTAGCAAGGCAACTGAGATTTCCCGACAGTTGCAAGAACCTTGTTGTAAATGTGTGCTAATAGTTCCAACCTAGAAAGAATTTATACGTCCAGTGACAACTTTGAAGCATGAAGTACTGCAATACCTCAAGGACCGCCTCTTTCCATATGAACCTACCTAGACCCTGAGATCATCTTCTGAGGCCCTTCTTCATGTGCCTCCTCCTTGAGAGGTGCGGAGGGTGGCAACACGAGAACGGGGCCTTCTCTGCAGTGGCTCCCCGTCTGTGGAATGCTCTCCCAAGGGAAGTTCGCCTGGCGCCTTTATTATACACCTTTAGGTGCCAGGCAAAAATGTTCCTTTTTAACCAGGCCTTTGGTTGACCTGAAAGACATCCTATACCCTTTTAAAATGCGGCTCTTTTTTGGGGGGGGGTTATTGGGTTATTGTTTTTATTTTGATTTTATATATTGTGATCTTTTCTGAGACCTCTGGGTGTATGGTGGTATATAAATTCAATCAATCAATTGAAGTTGAGAAAGATCTTAAATATATGTGCAAAGATATATGTGCAAATATATGTTTGTTGGAAACAAAAGTGTTGTGCCTTTCAAAAGTAGCCCCTAAGCTATAACCTCACTGTCTGTAAACAAATGAAGTTATTGTTCTGTTCTAAGAGTGCCTCATCCTTACTTAGATCCTCGGGGTGAGGATTAAGAGGTTACAGGTTTCCCATCACCTAATTGTAATACCTTGCTGCTGGGAGACATGAATGCTGCCAGAGTTATTTATGGAAGACCTCTGCCGTGGGAACAACAGGGAGAGATTTCTCTAATAACACAACTATAATAGTGGCCATCTTACCCAGCGCCCATCTTAAGTGAGGGTGTCTGCTGCAATATCCGGGAAACCACCATGGCCAAATCATGGGTTGAGGAAACACCATACATTTAAAACACATCACCCCGCCCCCCCACTCCAGCAAGGAATCCTGGGAGCTATAGCTTAACACTCACAGAGCTACAATCCTTAAGCTACAGCTTCCAGGAAGTGTGCTTTTAAACTACTTTAAATGTATGGTGTGTGCACAGTCACGGTTTCCAAACAAGTATATGCACATAAGCTTTAAACACCAGTGCATTCCTGCAAGAAAAAACTGCCATTTGGCAATGTGTGAAGCTTCCTGTATACTTTTAAAACAAATAGAGAAGCTCTTTAATACTCACTTGAAAGCAGTCCTGCCCACCACAGCCATTCCTTCAGGTAAGAGTGCCCACCCTGTCCTTAAAAGAGAGAGAAAGGCACTATTTTCAGTGAAAAGAATCAAGGAAAAGCCATAAAATATTTGAGGTATACCTTCTTGCTTGTTTTCATATTTTTAAAAAGTGCTCTCTTATCCAAGCAAACCTCTAAGCCAGGCATAGGGAAACTCACCCCTCCAGATGTTTTGGGACTACAACTCCCATCATTCCTAGCTAACAGGACCAGTGGTCAGGAATGATGGGAGTTGTAGTCCCAAAGCATCTGGAGGGCCGAGTTTGCCTATGCTTGCTCTAAGCAGTTTTTTTACTCCATTACTCTACCTGGCAACACCAAAGAGAAAAGCTGGATGGTAAAACAATCCAAAGTCTAGGGAATTTATTCTAATGTACAGTCATTCTACTGTGTGCCAACATTGAAAGTAGTAATATTAACAGTAACAAAGATTTACATTTTGTATTAATTTCATGCCGCGTCAAGAACTTATTTAGCTGAAAAGTGAGTCAATATTGCAAGCTCCCAAAACAAACTGCTCACAAATTCATAACACAGAAGTTGTTATCTACTCTTCACAGCACTCCAACTATGACTATTTGGACTACTGCAATGCGCTCTACGTGGGGCTACCTTTGAAGGTGACCCGGAAACAACAACTAATCCAGAATGCGGCAGCTAGACTGGTGACTGGGAGCGGCCACCGAGACCACATAACACTGGTCTTGAAAGACCTACATTGGCTCCCAGTACGTTTCCGAGCACAATTCAAAGTGTTGGTGCTGACCTTGAAAGCCCTAAACGGCCTCGGTCCAGTATACCTGAAGGAGCGTCTCCATCCCCATCGTTCAGCCTGGACACTGAGGTCCAGTGCCAAGGGCCTTCTGGCGGTTCCCCCACTGTGAAAAGTGAGGTTACAGGAAACCAGGCAGAGGGCTTTCTTGGTGGTGGTGCCTGCCCTGTGGAACGCTCTCCCATCAGATGTCGAAGAAATTAATGACTATCTGACGTTCAGAAGACACCTGAAGGCAGCTCTGTTTAGGGAAGTTTTTAATGACTGATGTTTTAATGTATTTTTAATCTTTTGTTGGAAGCCGCCCAGATGGCAGGGTATAAATATTAAATTATTATAATTATAATTATAATTATATAATTATAATTATAATTATATTATGACAGTTTCAAATACACATTTCAGAAATACAAGCCGTGCTTTTGGACTTGAGCTTTTGAACATTTAAGTAGAGGCTGGTTACAAATTTGAATGTTATAAAGCGCAGTGCTATTTTTTTTTCTGGAAAAAGAGGTGCGAGAACTCACTACAAACACCTCCCTTGTTCTGATAACGGCAATGGCACCCACCTGAGAGGTGCTAGAACTGAGGTCTGGCGAATTCCAGCTTTTAAAAAAAGCTCTGTATAAAAGAATAAGTATTTCTTACCTGCTCTAGTGAACCCCTTTTCAGCCAACTGTAAAAGGCCCTTCTTTTTCAATATAAAGCTGGAACCAACAAAGATACTTGAGCCTATAGCCAAGGCGACACCTACATACAAGCTGTATTTGCTTCCTGTGGGCACCGAAACACTCAGCTCGGTTTCATTGGAATATCTGCCGGAATAGGCAAAGAAAGAAGCTTCTAGCTTTGATACATTGAGGATTTGACACCAGGCAGATGAGAGTTGGGGCAGACCAGAGGAAACACGTCACCTGGGAAAAGAAGAAAATTATATATATGACTGAAGCACATCAAATCCGCACACACAAAAGACTAAAAGCAACCATGCACATCTGTAACAAATGAAAACTCTTGCCCCCGCTCCAGGTTTTCATAGAGCTTATTACTACATTGAGAAGCCCATCTTCTAATACTGCCGCTTCCAAGGCAGGAAGCAATTAATAATCACTGAAAACATCCATTAAAAATGAAAGCGAAGAATAATGTGATACTTAACAATGCATAAGAAGGCCGTAACTACGTCAAGCCTCTGGAATTTGTCTTTATATCTCACTTGTCTTGGAGCAAAGGAACAAAGCAAGGAAAGTTTTCCCAATTTTGAATTTGGCTCGACAACAAAGTAAAACAGTTCTAAGTTTGAAGATGAGGGGAGAAGATTGATGAGAGGTTCCTAGCTTTCAGGAGCAGCTTCTAGAATACCACAGTGATGCACTGATATAGATAGCATCGTATGGACAATTGCCAACCTATATATTTCTATAAACGGAAACAACAGTATGCATGTAGTTTCCCACAAAAAACAAAAACCTGACCCAGTAATACCATCCCTGGAATTAACACTGGGGAGATATATAAACAGCCCTGGGATAAATATTATGGATGGTAGATAAAATACATTAATAAATAAAATAATCAATATGAACATATTTTCCTAACAGATCTCTCCTCACCGAAAGAGAATATTTTACTTCTAAGAGTCTTCTTTAGAATGCACAGGAATGTAAAACAGGGCCTCAAACTGATTTGGACCACTCATCCCTCTCACCCTGTGTTAAGTATTCTGACTGGCAGCCGGTTCCCAGGGTCTCTAGCATGCAGCAGAGTGATGTTGACAGGCAGCTGGGAGGGGGAGGCGTGCGGAGGAAAATAGCTGAAGGCAGAATTTGTGTCTGAATAGCATGGGGAGACTTTTTAGAGAGCTGTCCCAGAGAGGCAGGCACCCCAAGAGATACGTAAGACTAAACAGGGAGCTAAATAATCAGCAGAGTCCTATGTTACTTTCAGAAGAGCACTGCATCAGACACCGGTTCCGTTGCCAAATCTCGCATTAGTTGAATTTCATGCAAACTAATATGGGTCCATATAGTTAAAGCTATGGTTTTCCCAGTAGTGATGTATGGAAGTGAGAGCTAGACCATAAAGAAGGCTGATCACAGAATTGATGCTTTTGAACTATGGTGCTGGAGGAGACTCTTGAGAGTCCCATGGACTGCAAGAAGATCAAACCTATAAATACTGAAGGAAATCAGCTCTGAGTGCTCACTGGAAGGACAAATCCTGAAGCTGAGGCTCCAATAATTTGGCTACCTCATGAGAAGAGAAGACTGCCTGGAAAAGACCCTACTGTTGGGAAAGATTGAGGGCACAAAGAGAAGGGGACGGCAGAGGACGAGATGGTTGAACAGTGTTCTCAAAGCTACCAACATGAGTTTGGCCAAACTGCGGGAGGCAGTGGAAGACAGGAGTGCCTGGCGTGCTCTGGTCCATGGGGTCACGAAGAGTCGGACATGACTAAACGACAACAATATGGGATTTACTTAGTCTGGAGGGGGAAAGTTAATTGGCACCGGGTGGGTGGGCCCTTCATGAATATACATTCCCCGGAAGAAAGTCATTCATTCATGAAGTTTTCATCATGATCCCCTGCCATCCAAGTACCGGGGGTGGGGTGGGGAATGGGAGGCAGCGGGAGACATATGGTCCCGTCATTTCAGCAAGGACTTGAGCGTAAAGCAGATTCCCTCTTTTTTTTTAAGCAAATGGTTTTGCTTACAGATGGGCAACAGCACGATGTCCGGGTGGCGATTTAACAGCTAGAGGAGATTGCAGACCACAGTGCTGCTCGTTCCAATTTTTCAAATGCTACCTACGTCTAGCAATGCAATTAAAAAAAAAGAAAAGATTTTTTTAAAGCTAACAATGCAATTCTTGGCACAACGAAGAGCGGGGGGCGGGGGGGAAATACCACCACAACTTACAGTGCACATTCTTGGTTGTGGAGAGAGAGGTCCCCTTAAAAGCAGAGAAGCAGGCTCTACCTTTATAGTTGTCCCAAACAGTTAAATAATGAAGTTATTGCTCCTCTTTAAAGAGGAGTCCAGAATCCAGTTTCTTCCTTCTCTCAGCTGCTGGGAGGTGAACCGCATGAGTCAAGGAGCACCGATGGACAAAGGCACTCAAATACTAAACACATACTAATGTCGCCACAAGAAGCCTCCTCAGCAATCTTTCTCCACATGGTATTCCTTTGAATATATCTCATTTCTGAAGCAAGATTGCTTCATCACATGCACAGGTCCCCTCAATGCCCAAGGTATAAAGTGCTATTTATTCATCATTTCTGAGGTAAAGTTATTTACCATTCAGAAGTCAAATACACATTTATTTGTATCTGCAGGGCAAAAGATTGCATCTTTAAAAAAGGAACTGTAGTCTGGAGTAACACACACAGAGAGAGACAGAGAGAGGAATATTGGTTGTTGCTGGGGGCAGTAGCAAAATCCTATTAGACCAGTTGTCTCTCAATAGTCTTCTGAAATGAATATATAAACGGAAAGTATTAAGTGAGATCAGCTGGGTAGCAGCTTAATTTTTTGTGTTGTTTTTGTTTAAATGTCTTTGGTTACTTCTCTTTTCTCACAAATACTGTAATTAAATAAGTTAAGCTTTTATATTATTGCTATAGATTTGAATCCTTGAATATCTTGTCTTGTGAAGAATACAGAAGTTTTAATATTAAAATGCCATTGAAGTCAGAAAGCACATTGAATTCATCTTCTGGAAGTGGTATGACAAGGTTTTTATTTGAGAAGATATTTCAGCTAGGAATTCAACGTAAGTCTAACTTACTGTGTACATGTGTGACAGAAACCAAGGACAGCATAAAAAAACCATTTTCTTCCACTACACTAAAAATTGATATAAAATCCAAATTTCACTCATCACAATAGCAGACTTCAATTGTTGAGTAAAAAAAGAAAATGATACCCGGTAAAACAACAGAAGTGTTTTGGTGTTTTCAAAAGATGGCTTAATATTATACATGGCCCGCTCAGATATCACTGGCAGCATGTTAGCTTTAACATCAGATTTTCCTCAGAAAGGGTAAATAGCAGACAAAGTTAGCAAGGGTAGATGTACTCCTTCCCTTCTTAATGGAAATAAATACTTCAAATAAAGTACTGTAATGTGCAATTATCCTCTCAAAACTAGAAGGGCAGATAAAGATTTTCCTCATGAGCACCTCCATCTCACATTCCCGCCAAAAACCGAGAGACAAAATTGCAGCCCGTCAAGTTCCATTCAAAGCAGCCTGCAAGTTGAACTACCTGCCACCTAGAACCTCAGAGGTTAATGGGCACCTGCGAAGCACTTTTGCAAAACGAAGAAAGGGAAACGGAGATAATTATCAACCAAACTACATGATTGATAGCTAACTTTTGATATGTATACAAGAGGAGGGAGATGAAGGGAGGAGTAGGAAGCAAACACCCGGACAATGACTCGCAGTGTTTACATATTTCAGAATGCTGCAGTTTCACCGACAGAATTGCTTAAATTGCTTTGATGACTACTCTCAGTTTCAACAGAAAATAACTGTGCGTGTGTGCCCAGTCAGATTGAGTCAGATCAGATTTTCATTTCAATGAGACTTATCTTGCTTTCGGTGCCAGACATTTGCCAACTCACTTCCTACGAAACACACTGCTCTCATTTGCTACAATCAACAAAGCAGCACCGCTTCAAATATACGTTCTGTGCAGCTTTAAATTGAGGGCTTATAACCTAGTCACATGAGCTTTTTTGTAGAACAACTGCAGTTATAGAATCACAGAATTGTAGAGTTGGAAAGGACCCCGAGGGTCAGAGTCCAACCCCCTGCAATGCAGAAATCTCAACTAAGACATCCATGACCCATGACTATCCAACCTCTGCTTAAAAGTCTCAGATCAGAAATCACACATCGTTTTCACATCACTTGAGTGCTGTGCCCCACAGTGGAAGAAGCCATTAGCTCCAAACTGGTTCTGCCAGTGCTTTATAGAGATGTTCACGTGTTCAGTTCAATTGACAACACGCGTCATGTGACCTGATATCATGCTTTCAATGGATGCCTCCCTGACGAGGTAAGAATAAAAGGTAAATTAATAAGTGGCAAACCTTTCACTAGGTAATCAAGCAATTCTGAAAGTTAACACGTGAACTACATTATATTGCTGATATAAATATCAAAGGGCAGTATCTTTCCACCTGTTAATAAATTACATCATATTATACCATTTCCCCACCCTGTGACAAACATCACCCTATGCAGTTTCCTGTACAGTCATACCTCGGATTGAATGTGCTTCAGGTTGAGCACTTTCGGGTTACACTCTGGGGCGTGTGTTACTTCCGGGTTTCGCCGCTTGCGCATGCGCAGACGCTCAAAATTATGCCACGTGCATGCGCGGAAGCGGCAAAACGCAACCCATGCACGCGCAGACGCAGTGTCGCGTCTTATGTTCTATTCAGGATGCGAACGGGGCTCCGGAATGGATCCCGTTCGCATCCCGAGGTACCACTGTACAGAGGAACCTTTGTTTTCGAACGTAATATGTTTCGGAAGTCTGTTCAACTTCTGAGGCATGTTCGAAAACAGAAGCATTCACTTCCGGGTTTTTGGTGTTCGGCTTCTGAAAAGTTTGGCACAGTGCCGGATTTACGTATAAGCTAAACAAGCTATAGCTTAGAGTCCCACTCTCTTGGGGGAACCAAAAAAATTTAAAGGAAAAAAACCTGGATGTACATTTCCAAAATATAAGATAAAAAACAAATAAAATAAAACCCACATACAGCAACAGTGTTTTGTGTTGTGTAGGCTCCCATGATGTAAGTAATGGGCCCCGCCTGCTAGCCTGCTCCCTAAAGTATCACTGGTTTGCTCATTTCTATATATAGGGTGCCTGCATTCTGCATGGAATGTATTTCAGTTCAACAATTACTTCGATAAAATATATATTTTGTTATGTGCAAATGGCTTTAGATACCTATTAGGTCCATAAATTACCATATAGCATATATTCAACACAAAAAACAGCGGCAATTTGTTGTTGACAAAGGACAGCTGGACATATAAAGGGCCCCATTACCTTCAGTAGCTTAAGGCCTCATCAAACCTAAATCCAGCCCTGGTTCGGCAGCCGAGACGTTCGAAAACTGAGGCTTGACTGTACAGTGTATTGAGTAAAACCACTTCTGTCCTCTCATTATCCTATTTCATCCTTTTTACTATGGTTCCACACTCATGGAACTACATTTTTATTCAAGACTTACTCTTGCAGGGCCTTTCTACCATAAGTGTAAATAAACCATCTATCATAAAGACACTGCAGTCTCTGCTGCCTCATTCATAAGGAAACACGAACCCTGAGTCAGTGGAGGACCTTGGGGTCTCCAATTTCAATGGCGCAACCCCACTGCCTCTCACGCTTCATTCTAAATAATAGCTGTGCAGCCGAACTGGTCGCACTCCCCTAAATTTGCCTCTACCTGGGTATGTGGCCAGAAACCCTGAAATCTCACACTGCTCAGAGACTGGAGTGGCACAAAACAATATAATACAGCTGAAATATGGCTAGCCATACAATCTTTGGCATGCATTATTTCACTGCAGTTGAAACAGAGGTGCTTTCTTCAAATTTTAAGGGTATTGCTTTATTAGTGGTTGGGCTCATGCATTTCATATTATTACTTGCAAGCTGCTCTTTGATTTCCCCCCACAAAAATTATAAAGAGTGGTGTACTGTGCAAATACAACAAATAATCTATAATGCTGCCCTCGACCCTTTTTATGGAGACACCCAATCAACAGGGACAGCTTTCCCACCACTGCACCACATATCAGAGGGACGTTTAACCTGTTGCATTTCTGCTCCCAGCTGAGCAGTGTTAGAAACTGAGATATGAAAGCTAGGAGATAAATGGCACCTTAAACCTAGCTCATGGGCGCCACAATGGAATGTCTAGGCACATTTTTTAAAATAACATGAATACAAGGCTGAAAATGAATGAACTGCAGCTAAAATCTTATGTTCATTTTTCACATGTTCTAATCCTTCCCCTGCCAACCCCCCCTAATATTCTTAAGAGGGTCTCTTCTCCAGTCTTCAGAGAGTAGCTGGAAGTGGGGAGGCAGAAAAAGGGCCTCCTTTCCTTCCACTCTGCTGTTTTAATCTGATACGGTATCTTAGGCGCAAAACTGAGCCCAGAGCTCAGAAACTGCTGGCGCTAATGAAATTCCTGGTTGCAAAATGCACCTAGAACAAGGCAGTTGAGCTCTGCAAAGAAATGTTGGCCGCTCTGGGCAGGCAGAAAGAAGGGGGATTTTGAGAAAGCCAATGCCTTGGAGGAGCAGGTGCAGATATCATGGGTGCCAACTCCCTGGGGCCCTGAGCACCCAAAAATTTCCCATGAAGGTGTCAGGCAACCACAAATTTTGGCGCATGGCCCCCACGGCCTCAGGCCCCCACGATCTCGGGGCCAAGTTGGCACTCCTGGCAGAGACCATGCTGCCTCCAAAACCTCAAGCAACTCGCAGAATTAGGGCTTCCAAAAAGCAGAGACATCACCTTGCCAACAAAGGTCTGTATAGTTAAAGCCATGGTTTTCCCAGTACTGATGTATGGAAGTGAGAGCTGGATCATAAAGAAGGCTGATCGCCGAAGAATTGATGCTTTTGAATTATGGTGCTGGAGGAGACTCTTGAGAGTCCCATGGACTGCAAGAAGATCAAACGTATCCATTCTTCAGGAAATCAGCCCTGAGTGCTCACTGGAAGGACAGATCCTGAAGCTGAGGTTCCAATACTTTGGCCACCTCATGAGAAGAGAAGACTCCCTGGAAAAGACCCTGATGTTGGGAAAGATGGAGGGCACAAGGAGAAGGGGACGACAGAGGACGAGATGGTTGGACAGTGTTCTCAAAGCTACCAACATGAGTTTGACCAAACTGCGGGAGGCAGTGGAAGACAGGAGTGCCTGGCGTGCTCTGGTCCATGGGGTCACGAAGAGTTGGACACGACTAAACAACAACAACAAACCAAAAGAACTTCCCCTGGCTGGAGCAGAATATCCTCAGGTGTTTATTCCCTCCCCCTCCCCCTCTCGATGTGGAAATCAGGCATCAACAAGGGGATGTGGGGTGGGATGCGATTTCGGGGGGAGGGGTACCCCGCGCGACAACGACTGACCTTCGCGGCACGCGCTCCGGAGGGACGCCGCCTTCTCCCCCATGGCACTTTCTTCAAAGGCGCGCTGCGCCAGAATCGCGTCCCCTTACGCACTGCTCTCGCTACCGTGCCAAACGCAGAAAGCTCTCGCCGCTTCCAAGGCGAGCCCGCCCCCTTTCCGCTTGGAAGAAGGAGCGCTTTCTCGCCGCCTCTCCCTCGCCGGCCAATCGCAGCCCCAGGGCGGGAGTGGAGGGCAGAGCGCGCCGACCTCCCAAGCGCCTCTCGCTTCTTCCACATCCCCATCCTCATCCTCCTCGCCGGTCCATTGTGACGCAACAATGGCGAGTTGGCCGGCGGGGGAACTCCGCGCTAGCCCGCGTTCCTGGTATGGCGAAGCTCCTTGCAGAAGTGATGTGAGCCTCGCCTCATTTCCATTCCCTACTTCCATCATTCGGAGGGGGTATCCGAGGCATCCGAGCCCCTACCCAAAACCAGTCTTTCTCTTCAACCAGGCTGATTAACACACTCAAATGTGTTTGTGTCAGGGGGCACGGGGGCAGTTATTAGTTCGTTTTTGTTTTATTATGTACTTTGTGTTCTCATTTTGTGTCTTTCTGTTGTGAACGGCTCCCGCGATCATTGGCCGAAGGGCAGTATATAAATTTAATAAATAATACTGTTCTTGTTTACCAATCTGAATTACTTTCTCTTAATGTTGTGTAGCTCAAGAGCAATTGAGAAGATGCATCGACAACACAACCATACCGTTTGTATTCTGCTATTTTTCTGGGGAAAGAAGTGCCGGAGCTCACCATGAACACCTCCCTCGTTCTCTTAGAATGGCAGTGGCGCCCACCTGAAAAAAAAAGCCCTGACTTTTACTCCGTAGTCAGGCCACTCCAACTACGCTTAAACACACACAGGCAGGTTTGTTCCGTGTGTAAATGTCAGCAGTGTGGGAAGGACTGCTGAGGCTGCTGGAATCCTGAACCCTTTATGAAGGGAGTAAACTCAGTTTAACTTAATAAAAATATACTGTTGTGTATACAGAGTTGCACTGTCAATAGAGGCTTTCCACGTGGGTTAGTAATCCAGTAAGCAAACACCACTTTAAGCCTCTCTGCCACCAGCAGGGATTAGTATCAATGCTGTCTTAAGTCTGCCTTCAGAAAGTGAAAAGGAGCCATGATCCCTGAGCATCCTTACTTTGTTCTGAGTACAAACAGGTGGTTAATTTGTGTTGGAAGTAATGAATCCATGCTAACTAAACAGGATTGTAAGCAGATTGAGGAGAGGGAGCCTTGGCTTTTCACAACCCAAGAGATAAGTGTTACCACCTAAGTTCCAACTGTTCTTAAAGGCACAAAGGTCAGTAAAAAAAAAAAGTCAGCAAATTTCTGTAAGTTGCATCTGTGTGCACCTTTAATCTTTTAACATGTAGGATTTCCAGAGGAATAGCAATATTAATTTATTGTGGCTGGGGAGAGGCTTTTGGCACCTTAAAGGGCAACACATTTATTATGGTACAAAATACAGACTAATCAGAAGCATGAAGTTATGAGAATATGTAGTGGAGGCGAATTATGAGCAGGTCAGAATGAAGTGAAATACAGAAAGTGCATTAGGTGATGATTATACTATTAACTGTGTCCATTTACAAAAACCTGTTGTCAGTTGATAACCGACTTTAAGTAGGCCAGTTAACAGATGTAGCGCAAGACGCCCTTCAGTTCAAAAGTGATAGCACTGAAACTCTTGAGCAACAGTAATTTGCGGTTTCATGTCGCAGTCTTCCTTTAAAGTACCTATCTCAAAGGCTGAAATGTTTCTCTGGTGGTTTTGGATATTGCCATTTTGGATATCGGTTTGTGTTAATATTGTGTGTGTGTAGAAACAATGCTAGCATAAACTAGTTAACTGAAACTGTGTATTCCTTTTATATTTACTGATTCCTCTCCTTTTAATTTTCCCAATAATAAATTAGACCATAAACTTGTTGAGGCAGAGATGTATCCTGTTGCCCACTGTCAGGTGTCATACACGCTAATGGTACTTACATTATAGTATTTATTATTATTAGCCTGGTACAGTGCACTTTACAATGTGCCTTTTTAACTACAGAGCAGACTTAAACTTCATTTGATTTGCAAACCACGATGGGGGCCTCTGCCCAGAACCATATACTGTATAACTTTGTTTTATCTGTTATCAGTTAACAGTACAACCACATCCATGTCTGTTTAGAAGTACCATAAGTCCTGTGGAATTCAATGGAGTTAAGTCCCATGTATTGCTAACTGCTAAGTAGAGACCGAATTCAACAATGAAGGCTCGCAAATAATACATACTTCATACATATTGAGTATTATTGAAGAAGATTCTGGGGTCCAGGAGCAAAAAAGGGCATATTATTAGGACTGTTGTTTATTTTGAACTATGCTGCCATTGGGGAGCAGAGTAGTATATGCCAGTGTCTTTCATAATTCTAAAAGTAGTTGATCATCTGTAATTGGTTTTGTGGTCTTGTTTATGGTTCTGGAGGTTTGTTTTGAAGGCTACTTACTTGGGCCTCAGTAACTCTCAAAATGGCTATTAAGTGAAACCTGACTTGTTGCAACGATTGACATATTTACCTATAAATGTAAGAGAAATGTCCATCTCCTTACTAGGAAAATATGTTGCTCTATGATAACCAAGGCAGGTGGTGAATATGAAACAATAATTATTATACAGTGGTACCTCTGGTTACGTACTTAATTCATTCTGGAGGTCCGTTCTTAACCTGAAACTGTTCTTAACCTGAAGCACCACTTTAGTTAATAGGGCCTCCCGCTGCTGCCATGCCGCCGCTGCACGATTTCTGTTCTCATCCTGAAGCAAAGTTCTTAACCCACGGTACTATTTCTGGGTTAGCGGAGTCTGTAGCCTCAAGCATCTGTAACCTGAAGCGTATGTAACCCGAGGTACCACTGTAGTTCTAAGTTGTTGAATATAATGATGACATGTTGAAGTGCATCTCACACCAGCTCAGAGTAGTATTCCTGGTCCTGGCAGTGGAAAGATGTAAAGAATATTCCCTTCTTCTCCTGCTATGCTACACAATGCTTGATGGCTACTAGCCCCTAAACCATTTTAAAACTATATAGTGGGGGTCATGCAATTGGAAGCATACCCTGCTACCTGAATACCCCCCTCAAAGCATTAATAACAGTGTTTTTTTCTGGGGACATACAGGGGTACGCATACCCCTAAACATTTTGTGAATCTAAGTTTGGCCTCATTGAGGGGCAGTATTTCCATATGAGTAGGAAAATGAGAGTACCCCTGAATATTATTTTTATAAAAGAAGCACTAATAGTACATAGGAGGATAACAAATGTAGACCTCTGTTCTCAGAACCAAATGTAGCAAAAGGAGCACCAGTCAGACTAATGTTTCCAGGAACAACACAGTACTTTTTAAGTTGATATTTTGATAAGTGGAGTGAGAAATGCTTCATTAAATTTTTAAGTGGTTTGTAATGTTTGAATTTTTATGCAACTACTGATTTAGGCAAATAAAGATAATATGAGAGAGAACACCTGGTTAAGAGGGTAGCATGAATAGAGAAATAATCTGCAATTTACTCAGAGAAACAACAGAAAGCTGCAGGTCTGCAGCATCTCCAGTAATTGACTGCATAAGTAACTCAGCTTCTATGCATGGGTAGGTGTGTGTGAAACCCATATGATCTATGCTTCCTCTCCCTAAAGAAATTGACTGGGAATTAATACTACAACCCTAATCCTGCTTTACCTGGGAGTAGGCCCCATTGAATTCAACGGAACTTACTCCTCCAGCAGATATAATTAGGATTTCACCGTTAGTAAATGTCGCATGAGTTGTGTTGCCTCCAAATGTCTTGTGATCACCATGAATTTTATATTGTTTACCTCCGTCTATCCATCAGAAACTCACAACTTGTTTTTCGGGTTTAAGAATAGCTATGAAATAGCAAAAGTAATTTCCCCAAGCTTTAACAATCCAGACAAAGCCACCTTCAGCTGTATAATTGTCTGCTAATTTGGTGCCTGATTCCGCAACACTTCCATTTCATGAGCCTTAAGCCAAGAGTTGCCAGGCTCCAATTCAAACTACTAGTTAAATGGAAGGCAAAGCGACCAAGTCCTTCACCTGCCCCCTCTTGCACCTGCTATAGTGAACAGGGCTCCAGGCGTCATAAACAGCAAATAGGAAGGCAGCAGAGGCACGGAAAAAGGCTATGTACGAGTTTTACAGTAAAGGTAAAGGGACCCCTGACCATTAGGTCCAGTCGTGGCCGACTCTGGGGTTGTGGCGCTCATCTCGCTTTATTGGCCGAGGGAGCCGGTGTACAGCTTCCGGGTCATGTGGCCAGCATGACTAAGCGGCTTCTGGCAAACCAGAGCAGCGCACAGAAATGCCGTTTACCTTCCCGCCGGAGCGGTACCTATTTATCTACTTGCACTTTGACGTGCTTTTGAACTGCTAGGTTGGCAGGAGCAGGGACCGAGCAACGGGAGCTCACCCCGTCGCAGGGATTCGAACCACCGACCTTCTGATCGGCAAGTCCTAGGCTCTGTGGTTTAACCCACAGCGCCACCCGCGTCCCTTCTGTGTTTTATAGTACAAGGCTGTGAATGTCTACTCACAAACAAGTCCCGTTGCGTCCTTAATTTCCACCTTGCATTCGAGTTCCAGTTGTGATGGAGGCGGAAAACATAGCCACGCATTTTGCTCCAAATCAGTATTCTACACCAGTTTTAACAAAATACATTGTTTCAGAGGCATAAATTGTGTAATTTTAAAAGCAAAGAGGTACAAACCTAGCAAAATCAATGGGTTTAAGTGTGGCCTTTGTTCTAGAGTGCATGTACATACTGAATGAGAATTAAGATGATCACTTGTAAAAGGGATCTGGGAGGGCCAAGCCATATGGAGGATTGCAGTTGCTGGTATTGGCTCAGGACACTGGGTTACAGATGCAGTACATGAATATTCTTGTGTGTATAAACTGAGGCAGCTGTGTTGGCAAACCAGTAAAGCAGAATGCTTGATTTTAATGTGATTGTAACAAGGGAGGATTGTTTTCCTTCCCTCGCAGCAGCAGCAGCAGCAGCAGCCCATTGTTCTGTCAAGTAGCTTTTTAAAAACATAGGCACTTTTGCCTGTATTGACAGTTCCTTGTTCCAGATGCTGTCAGAGAGAGAAACATAAGATGCTATCGCATCTTGCTGGATGCTATAGCAAACCACTCCAGGGAGCCCCTAGCAGAGCAGGAAGTCAAAAGCCCTCTCCTGCTGTTGCTGCTGCTCAACTCAGCTGGAAGGAAGCCAAGAGCAAGCCAATTCAGCTTTAAGGTAAAAACTTCACATTTACTGTATTTTCCAGTACTTCAGGATGAAAATGTCATGCTGGCCACTAGCCTCAGGGAGGGAGAATACTTAGGAGGGTGGCTGAAATGGGTAGTTGCCTGGAGAGACCCACCCCTCTCCCTGGGGTTTATAGTTTAAAGGGGAGTTGAAGAGGTGGAACAGGGCCTGTGAATTCTGACCAGCATTGAGAGGGGTAAAGCAACATGTAGAATTTTGATGTCCGCTCGGAAGCCTCTCCAGGAATTTTCTCAGCCAGAGCTGGCCGCCCTAATTGTGGTCAGCTTCATGGTGGAGGGGGGGAGCAAGATCTGGGTTCAGAAGGGAGGGAATTTCTAGACGGAACTTCTATAGGCTTCCTTCTGGCATTTGAAAGATTTGACTAACTCACAAGGAAGCATTAGATATTTTTCCCTTTTACAAATGGCAGTTCTGATATCCAACAAGAAAAAAATAACATCTATTCTGAACACATTAGCATAAACTATTCTATTTCTTCTTCCCCTCAGCTAAGGTTTTCAAGAGACCCAATGCTGA